CTTTGGCCTGGGGTGGGGGTGGAGTCCACAAAGCCTGTATGGAATTAGCTTTAGGTCATCCTTTCCCCCTAACAATTTCATGAGTGAGGCCAGCATACGTGAATTTCCATTTGGGGAAAACAAGAAGACCGACCATCCTGCCTCACTGCTTGTATTGAAATACACTCCACAAGGAGTGGAGGTTGAAACAAAAATAAAAAATTATTGCAACAATATGTAAGATTGGAGGGTGGGTTAGGGGGTTATTCCAGGTTGATAGGAAACCCCCCAAACTAAAAATGTTTGCCTTTCATACTCCAAGCCGAGGATAACCGAGCAGGAAAGGGACCAAAGCCGTGAAACCCAGGAGGCCCGGGTGCAGGGGGGCGGCGGTCTGCAAGGGGGCAGGACCCGCCAGAAAATTACCTGCATGTGGCTACTTTAAAACCTGCAGCTTCCTCTCCAACTGTCTTGTAGATACAAAAGCTCCGCACTCTAAGGATGTTTACACCAACAAAATGTTTTCTATAGTGATCAAAAGAAGTCGGAAAACCACCGAAAAAAGAGGTTTCTCCGGCTTTAATTATGAGACCACCAGAAAAAAATTCCCCAAAGGGCGGAACGCGGCTCCACTGACTCCCCAAGGTCTTTCGCTAAGAGGTGCCCCTGGTCACATGCAACCGGGTCGCCGCAACCCGACCTGTAGGCCCCACGGGCCACCTCGCACACCCAAGTTAGATGTCGCAGCCCTGCACAGACTCTAGTCGGGGCGCCCACGCCCGCGCACCCCTCCCCTGGCGCTGGGCGCTTCCAGGGCGCAAGCGCCCGAGCAGAGGGGCACGTGCTGGGCAGGCAGGCGCCGTGCCTCGAGGGTCCGAACTGGCCGCAGGGGGCGCCCTCGGCGGACAGCAACCGTCGGCTGGCTGGGGGTTTGCCGATCCTCACTCAGGGCTGTGCCTTGGCCACCGAAGCCTCTGGAGACGGCCGACTGCCAGGTTCTGGCTGCGTCTTCCGGGCCAGGTGAGAATTTGCAGGCAGCCCTCGGGCTCGAGGTGTATCTAGGCAGCTTGTGATTTAGTGTGAGGAACTAAGATTCTCTTAAGTAGCATCTCTCCACCACAGCCGCTCACACCCAGCAGCTTGCTTAACATGGTGGCACACTGGGGAGGGGAGTAGGAACCCAGAGCTTCAGTAGAGGGGCAGAAAGAAGTGGGGGAGGAAGGGCAGTAAAACTTTAGTGGATTAACGCTAGTCACAGCTTCCCAAGAAACATGTTGCCCAGCAGGAAGGGGCCCTAAAATAGCCCATGGAAGCATCTCAGCAGAACCCAGAAAGGACAAGCAAGGAGGAGGGATCTGTCAGCTCCTCCCTCAGGTCCAGCTTTGCCCTACAGCCCCAGGAAGGCTGGATTGGAAGCCTTTCCCGTCGCATCTTTAGGGGATACTGAAACTGGCCAGATGGTTAGGACAGACCCGCCAAGACCTGCAAGCAAGCAGGTGACAAGCAGTGAATCTTGGAAACAAAGATCGGGGGTCAGGGAAACAAAGCAGCTTTGGACCCAGTTCCAACATCAGTCAGGACCAGCTCCAGATTATTGGCAGTCTGAGCCAGAAAACCTTTATTGTCATCCAAGCGCCTTTATTTTAGAAGAATGGGGAGTTATGGGTGGACAGTGATTTGTCCGAGGCCTTGCTGGACCCAAGAACCCTCCTTGGGCCAAGCACATTCCACATTACTGGATGAAAATCGCCAGACTGAAAAACAGGCCTGGCAACATTTTGGCTCATTGCTGAGTCCTGTGCTTCCTAGGCCCTTCCACTGTTCAGACCCTGTGGAGAGGGTACCCCAGCAGTGCCTCATTCTTTTGGACAGGATTGTAGTTCCTTTGGAGCTCTACAAGCCTTGACCAAAGCTGGCTGTTCAGCTGCTCAGAGAACCAAGAGCAGTGTGGCTGTTGCAAGGGAAGCCTCAGAGGTTCCATCTTAAACAAAGGGCAGAACCCTCCAGTGGAATTCTGAGGCTATTTCAGACATGTGGCATCCACCATCCAGTCCATTACAGCCTAGCAACAGACAGAATTTCCAATAGAGAAAAGTAGCTGTGAAGGCACCAACAACTCAGGTCAAGCCTTGTGTTCTATGTAAACGGCAAATAACTTTGAGCTTTTTCATTTATCAGTCCTTACAACTGTGAACTCTTGGCCAACACTGCTTGAACCACAGGTCTGAAAGACAGTCTACTTCTTGTAGGCCAGTGGACCCAACAAGAAGAGCCAAAAGGCAGTGTCACGCATGGATATATAGGAGGACCCAGAGAAATTTTTCTCAGCCTGTTATCAATCCATTTCTTTCTTTGGTAAACAAAAATGTCAAACTCATGTCCTGACCTGGAATTGATCCTAAAGGGGTGTTTTTAATTCTAACCATGGGACAGTTCTGGGGTAAAGGGGCTTGTAAACAGTGAACATTCCTCTGAGTTGTTCACCCCTGTTTTTCATCTGATTCACAAGAGTCCCTGACAACCCAAGATTCAGAACTATAGCCCTCTACCAGAAGAGAAACAACTGGCCAATGAAGATGCCCATTTCATGTTAATCCATTTTTCTTTCCAACTAGTAAACAGTTAAGATGGAAGAGACTGCATACTGCCAAGTGAATGGAGGAAACACACTATTAGTAGCTGAACTGGAACTAGTTTCTGTAACCTATCTTAGAATTAATGCATCCATCACTTACCAGCCATCTCCTTCAGATTTTATACTATATATACACAGGTCTGACTTAATCAAGACACACCACAGCATTTTCAGAGAGATTAGAAATCCAAATGTTTGTATGATTGTTAAATGACAGTACATCCAAAACATTGAAATGCTATGTGGTTGTCCAGAATTAAGTAGACCCATATAAGCTATTCTGAAACAGGTGGGAGACGGAAACAGAACAGAGTAGGTGTGTGTTTGGATACTCTCTGAGGGAGGAAAACAGGTGTTGGGTGGGAGGAGATGCCCTTGCTTTTTATCATCTAATCTTTTATACTGTTTATTTTTACCATGTACATGTATCACTTTAAAAAAAAAATTCACATCCATCCGATTCCTTGAAAACAAGGGTTTCTGCACGCATTCACCTTCTTGTGGCCTTGTACCAAGAACTTTCCTGCCATAGACCAACCAAACCATCTTCCTCCTCCCAAGTCATCAAAGTTCCAAGATTGGTCTCATGCTAGGGAAGGGAAGAGATTCTCTGCATTTGCTTTTCTAACCAGAATAGCAGAAGCTGTGCCTGTGGAACAGCATAGGCATTCAGCCTAGCTGTGGATTTAGTCAAGGTGGGCACACTCGGAAGTGAGTATTTAGAATGTGCAGTATTTCAGCTTCTGTAGGTGTTGAGGGTGAAGACAAAAACAATGAAGATGGTGGAGATGAGAATGACGAATTCAAAGCCACAGCGGTAGAAAGAATGAAGAGGAATGTGCTGGATTTTACAAGAGAAGAAAAGAGACTGAGTTCCGGAGTTGCCAGCAAGTTTATAGTATTGCATTTTGATTACAGATGTGTCAATAAAAAACTTGAGTATTACCCTCTGGTAAAAATGCAAAACCAACTTCCTTTTAGATTAAAACAGTAGGTTAGGGGACAAAATTAACTGTATATGGACTGGTGTGGAGAGAGCTGGATGGGAGGGGAATCATCAGCTCAAGAAACCCCAAGACCTCAAAGGAAGAGGCCAGGTATATGAGCAGTTATTTCCCCAAACTGCCCTCCCTGAAGATTGTGGTTCAGGGAAACCCTAAAGTCAATAGGTGCTGTGCATGTACGCAGGTGGGTAAGAACTTTCGATTCCAGTGTGGCTTGATTTCCTCACCAGTATGCCCAGTCTCTGCAGACAAAATGGGGTGGCATGTGAGCCATGCTGACCTGGGGTGGGTGGACACCAGAATCACAGACCAATAATATAGTACCATAGTTCTTGTGCCTTCAGAAATCCAATGTCCCCAAATAAAGAGTATAGAGAAGAGAGCTGGGAGAAATCAAACCAAAAATTTTCCAATGGCCATTCAAAAGAAAACTCAGCAATTCTTGCCTTTGTCTTTAACCCTGAGAAGTTGCTGGAGGAATACAATCATACGAGTTTGAATGGACAGGGAGGGAAGGCATAGTGTGCTTCCTGCAGGGCTGTCTCTGGAATCCCTGCAGCCCAACCTCCCATACCTGTGGCTCAGTGACCTCCTCCCCGTCTGCCCCAGAGCAGGGACACTGACTGGGCACAGTGGGACCAAGAAGAGGGGAAGCAGTAAAAACAAAAAAAAAAACCAGCATCAAACTGCAGATCAGCTAGCACATATGTGGCAGCTGTGCCTCCCCAGGACCCTGCCACATTCAGAGACCACCAGATCAGCACCAGGGGTTCTGAAATGCAGGGTCCTACTGCATTCAGACATTTGGTGTGCTACCCAAGTCCACAGTCAGACCACAGTCTCATCTCTCTACTTCTCCACCTGGATTCAAATAATTTGAGGCTGAAAACCTCATTGTCCACAGTTACCAGAAAATCACTCCTGCGGGGAGAACTTGGGGAATGGACAGGTGAGCTGAAGGACTTTTCTTTCCCCAAGTGTTTGGACAACATTACAAACAAGATGATTGACAGCTGCTTGGGCCACCACTCAAATCTCTAACCTGAGATGTGAGCCATGAGAGGGACAGCCACTAAATGCTGAGCCTCCTCCAGATCAAAGTCCCCTTGGGGGTCCCTGGATCAAAGCCCCTAGGGGGAGCACCACTCTGGGGGCTTCTTTCCCAGCCCCATCCCTCAGATCCCAACTTGTTCATTCTCTAGAAGAGAGACCAACCCTACCCCTGAAACCTCTCCAACCACTGGATGGTGCTGGATTTGCCGCATCTAATGAGGCCAGGAGTGAAAAGCAGCAGCTTAGGCTTCGTTGGCATCCTGGTTCTCTGTCCTTTGCCCAAGTATTACCAAAAAAAAAAAGTATGGTCTCACAGCAGGCACAGCATCTTGTTTCTTTTAAAAAATAAATATTTATAAACTTAGGGAAGAAGATTCAAAGAATCAGAGATCTTTTCCTCCAAAAGCACAAATGTCCCACATGAGTCAAACCAAGGCAAGACGATCATCCCATGAATGAAATACCACCCCCCAGGGACTCTGCCTTTAGGGGCAAGGGAGCTGATCTCTGGCTGTCAATCCTTTAGTCCCCCTTGGTGATCAGGTCCTCAATGTAGGCATCCAGCTCATCATCTGTGTTGATGTCAATGTCCTGGAATAGAAAGCAGCAGAATCAGCTAGGGGGCCAAAAGGCAGTGGGAGGCCCACCTCTCCACCCTCTTTGCAGCCCATGGGGACTGACCCAGAGTCACCCTACTTCCCTCCCACCCCACCTCCCCCCATATAAGGGCTGTCCCATCTCGATCATGCTCCCCTTCCCCATCCTCTGTGCACAGATGACGCCCAGATTTCTTTCTCCTGCACTGCCTTAACCCAAGTTCCCAGCTGCCTTAGATGTGCTCAGGCTTCTCAGACTCCATATGCATCCAAAACAGCTTACCCGCACCAACCCACCCCACGTTGTTCCCATCTCAATACAAGTCACCCCTTTCCCTCCCCCAGGGATTCAAGACAAACCAGAAAAATCACCATTTTCTCCTTTCCCTCAGTTACTGCAAGTCTTCCCACTTCTCTCCCTGCCACCACTTAAGGTTCAGGCCACCAGAATCTCTCACCCCAGACAACTATGGAACTTCCTCACCAGTGTCCCAGATTCTAACCTCCATGCTCTTCCAGGCCCTCCAACACCACCCGGAGTAAATATCTTAGATTGCAAGCTAGACCATGCACACCCCTCCAGTGACTTCTCACCTGGAACAGGCCCTTTCTCTCCTAGTATCACCCACAACTACCCACCATGGGACATGGGTCCTGCTCTTACCTCTAACCAAAATTCTCACATACTGATCTTGCAGGATTGGTTCTGCTCTCACTTCAAACAGCTCCTCAGATAGGCTTCCCCTAAATACCCTAGTAAAGTGGCCTCCCTGATTTATCTCCTATTACTTCACAGCACTTCCCACCTTCAACAACTGTCTCTTCAAAGAACTGTTGGGCTGTGAAAGCCAGGGAACTTATCTCACTTGTCTAGTTCACTTGGTATCCACAGGACAAGCATAGAGCAAGCCCTCAGTATTTACTACCTGGATGAAGAACTGAGACCCTATGGGGCACTACCAGCTTCTGGGTTACCCAATTCCATCTGGGCGTCATCTGGAAAAGTGAGAACTTCTGTTTTATGGCTTGGAGGGCTCTCAAACCAGGTTGTACAGGAAAATATCTAAACAAGGGCAAAAGTCTGATACCGTGGGTCTGGCTGGGATGAGGCCCAGGCAGCCGCACCACCTCCAGCCCTCCTGGTCAGGATGCTGTGCAGCCAGAGTTGGAACCACAGATTCCTGTGAGTGGGGAGAAGGGAACAGGAGGTGCCCAGGCCCCCCTCCCTTAGACACCAGGTGGTCCAGCTGCAATGAGAGGGCTGCCTGGCTCACCTCCTGCACCTTTTGCAGGAGCGCCACGATGTTGGTCCTCAGCTTCTGCAGCTTCTCCTCTGTTTCACGGAGCTTTCTCTCAGAGGTCCGCAGGCTCTCCTCAGAGGCCTTAGCTCGTGAGTCAGCGCGGCTCTGGTAGGAATGGCACAGATTCTGGAGCCCCACTTCATACTGCTTGAAGTACTCTTTCTGTAGGGAGAGAGGCAGAGGGTGAATACATGAGCTACTAGAGGTTCCCCCACAACCCTTCTAGATGGGCACTGGTGCCCCAAACTAGCTGAGCACAAAGACAATTGATCTGAAGGGATGCTAAACCCAAGACTAGTAGTAATTCTGGCTCTAGAGTAGAGAGATCTTAATGCCAATCTCGGGGGACTGCCATGAGAACAAAAATGGGAGCGCACACTCAGCTTTGGCAGACAGAAAGCTGTGGTAACCCAGGTGACATGAAAGAACAGCAATCACTCTCCCAACTCAATCATACCTTTCTAACATCAGAACAGTCCTTTCAGCAATCTGTTTCCAGTCACACCCAACAATATCAAGACCAAAAATTCTCTTCCACAAATATTTATCAAATACCCAGAAACCACAGATACCTCTAAATTTGCGTAATATATTTATGGAGCATCAGATTTTTACTGTCTTTCCTAAGTAGTTAAAATGTCCAAGAGGTGGGATATTAATGTTAATTGGCAATTACTAAGGGCTATGGAATTCCTAGTCCAGCATAATGGGGAAAAGGACCCCATTCACAGAATAATGAACATTAGAGTCCATTGTGTGTATGTGACAGAGGAAAAAGTATATATTCATTATATTCAAGTAAAGCCTGAGTTACTTTAAACATTACAATTTAAGAGACTATAAAATTGACACATTAGTGGTATAACTCCATTTCCGAAAATAAGCTAAGCTGCTACTGCTCACTATATTTTGGTCTGAGCACTTTAGTCCACTGCACTCAGGCTTTATTCTGAGTCTGGCAAAAAATGTAGGCCAAAAGTAATAAATCTGACACAAGGATGCCAGGTTGACCTAGCCAACCTATAAGCCATTAATTCCTGGGATCTACAAAGCATACCTGCAGCCTAAACGAGGGCAAGAGTTGTGGCATGGACCTTATTAATATGACTCCCTGAGTTCTCCCATCTTACAGGGAAGCAGAGCGGCACCGTGAAAAAAGCAAGACCATTGTGCTAAGAAGCACCTGCATTCAATTGACTTCCTCTCCCTGAGACTAAACTTCTTTAACTCCTAGCCTCATTTCCCTTTTTACAAGGTGATAAAACCCCAAATTTCTTTCTCTGACGGGCTTTTAGCAAGAATATAGTTGTCACACAACGGTCCTCTATCTTGAATATATATGCTAATGCACAATTTTTAATTCCAATTCTCTTCTCCAGAGACTGACCCCAAGCTATTTCTACCATAAATGCACCCCTATTTGCCGTGGATAGCTTCCAGATCCATCTCCAGCCCTGGCCTTCCCACCCTCTTCACATGCCAGTCTCTACCTGCCCACTGCACATCACTAAAAATGTAGTGCTAATACTTAGCTCTACACAGCAAATCACAAATCATCTTCCTTACCCTCACCCCAAAGTTTTCTCTCTCAGCCAACAGCTTTGTGATCAACCTCAATTCTCACAGGACTGAGAACTGAGAATTCTCACTTGCCACTTGAAGGCAGGCCTCTCTTAGATGCTCACTACTGAGGTCCAAAGAGAGTTCAGGGGAGGCATCACACATCAGCATTTTCTGGGTTAAATAAGACCCAGTGCTTACTTCTACATGTCATGAGCAGCTCTACACCTCTTTCTAATAGTAGGCACTTTGAGCCTAAGCTCTTCACTGTTGCCTGGGACAAGTTTTATTCCCTCTGCTAAGAGAAAAAAGGATATATACATTATAAAATGTCAGATAAGAATGACATTATAAAATGTCAGATCAAAATGCTGTTCCTAAACGATAACTAAGCCCTAGCATCTTACAGCTTTCTGCATACCAGAGTCATGTCAAACTAAGCCACTTCTTTTTCCACATCAAGTCTCCTCTAAGTAGAAGAAAGGGAAACTGGCTTGGGAGTGGGGTTGGACATGGCTGAAAACTGACTATCACAACACCAAAGGGGGCTTGCAGAGTACAAAATCAGAGGTCAGGCCAGACTCACCAAAGGAAATGATATTAGCTCATCTGAATTCATAGCACTCAGCTCCTTCTTGGAGATGGGGAAACTTGGAGGCAGGAAATACCGTAAACAATTCCTAAACAAGAAAGAAGGTGGGGTCAGGAATTCAGAATGGCATGGCAGAGTGGAGAGATACTGCCAGTTCCACAGTGGGGAGACACGCACCGGAGGATCTGGACGAGCAGGTCAATGGTCTCATGGTTGGTGCTCGGGGCAGTGGTGTCAGGCTCGATGCGAATGCAGTCAGAAGTAGAGGGCTCTGCCATGGCTACAGCCTGCTGGGCCACCACTGCCTCCTCCTCCCCCCCACCCTCCTGCTGTGTATCAGGGGTCTGATGCTCCGGAGAAGGGGGTTTCATCAGCCGCACATCCTCGCTGCCTTTCTCCACCCTAAGGAGGACACAGGGCATGTGTCGTGTGTCCTGGGCTCCCAGGATGAGCTTCCTGCAGAGGGGTTCGGGGATACCGCCTCCCCCTGCCCTAGCCAGCATTGTCAACCTCTCGGAAGGGGCATTACCAGCGGTCTCTTGGTGTTGTATCTGTGGGCACGTAGTCAAACTTCACCTTCCACCTCACCACATGCTTGCCCACCTCCACTGCTGTGACACGGCCCGTGTACCACTCCCTGTTCACACGCACCTCCACATGCAATCCTTTATCTGAAAATGGGGACAGGGTACTAGTCAGGAAACTAAACTATAGTCCCCTGACTCTTGACTCAGCCAGAACCATATTTATCCCAGGATTCACAGGGACAAAAACCCCTAAATGCTTGCCCCTGCTATGCCAGGGACATGGAGCCCAGCCACCCTGGTCTCCTTTCCCATCTGCAACAAGGGTGCTAAGGAGCACTAGGATGAATAACTACCAGAGAAAAATGCCAAGGAATTTATGCTAAACACGAGGGTCTGTTATCTACAGAATTCTCTCTGGATTAGATCTGAAACCTGTATTACATGAGAGCCCAGAAACACTTCAGGGTAAGCTGCTAATGGCCAAGGGATGTCACTTTCCACTTCTGCACTGGCTGTCAGGTACCTCCCCCAACCTCACCTTTCTGAGCCCTCTTGAGATCAGCTGGGTCCTCTTCCCCAGCACTGTCTGAGAGCTGCAAGGAGAACAGACTCTGTTAGAGGTATCTCCAGTGTCGCCCAGAAGTGTATGATCGCATAATCTGCCGTCATCTCATGTTGTCTTATATGGCAACTTAAATCACCATGCCTTGCCGACAACCACTCTCTAAATCACCATCCTTAGGCAGTATTATCTACCCTTTGCCACTGTCATAAACAAGAGAGCAGGTAAGGGCAGAACGTCATAAATGGACAGTAAAGGGTTTCAAGGCCTCTCTGATCTTTGTCAGTGTAATCTCGGGACCGTGATTAGAGTGAGAAGCCAGTCTCACTGAAAAGCATACCTGATGCCATCCTGTGTGACTGAGAGTACTTCCAAGACGAACTGGGCCTCAAGTCACAGAACACAAACAGAACTGGTGAAGACTGCAGGTGGCAGATGGAGACCCTGCAGAGGGAGCTGAGAGCCTCATCACCACCACCTACCTCATTTGAGTCCTTCTTTTCCTCCTTCACAATAAACTTGCCCCGCTTGGACCTTTCCTTCCTCCTATCAGCCTCCTCCTCAGCTTCTTCCTCATCAGAGACCGCAAGAGTTCGCTTACGACTAGGAGTAGCCTAGAGTAAGGAGAGAAAATGAGGGGTTAGTAGCCCTTGAAGTGCAGGAAGATTCTATATGGTCCACAGAATCTTCAGAAGAGGACTTAACTATTCCCCAGTCTCCTTCAGGAACAAGTCCCATCCGATTATTACTCAATATACAGCAATCTCCTGGCCCCTATGTCCATTAGGATATTTGCTAAAAACTGGAATGGGAAAAGCTTTCCCTGTCAGCCTACCTGTCTAGCCAGCTGTGACCACCCTGAAACATGTCAACCAGTGCTACAGCCATCCAAGACTGTCACGAGGCCAACAATTTATGCTATAGATGAGAAGCCAACAGAGGCAACTTAAAACATGGGGGCAATGAAGACGATCTCTCTGGACAGGAAACCAATTCCCTCTATACCCCTAACCAAGTCCTCTCAATTATATAGATGTCATCTTTCCATAGATCGCAGGGACACTTTGGATTCCATAATCTCCCCTGAGGATCCCCCAGTATAGCTTTGTCACTGCTCAATTCCAATTTTACATCACTGAGAATGAGCTAGAGGCTGGAGGAAAAACATCTCACCGGAGAGGGTTTACTGGGTGGCTCTGGCTTCTTGACCACTGGAGTCTTGATGGCTCTGGGGACAGGGACCTCCCGAGGACTTTTGGAATTAGGAAGTGGAGATGGTGACAGTGGCTGCACCAAAGAGGCAATCCGAGGTGATGTCTTGACTGGATTATTAGCAGGCTTTCGGGGTACCTCAGGTGGCTGCAGCAGTCTGGAAGTACTGGCCTCTTCCCGAGCTGCCAGGGCAGGGGGCTTTGGGGTACTGCTGATAACAGGAGCCTTTCGGGGCTGGTTGGTTGGCCTAGGAGTATGCAGGGAAGGGGGTCTGCTTGGGGCATTCTTGATCACAGCAGGTAATGGGGGTGACCGAGGACGCTGAGGTCTACGTGCTGGTTCCTAAAAGAGGCCCAGAGACAGTAAAAACTTGATCCTAGCTTGAGACACCTAAAGAAAAGCCCCTCTCCTGTCCTTGGGCTTTACCTCTGTGGAAGGTCTGGTGGTCACTTCCAAGGGCAATTTCTTCAGGTCAGCCTGGGAGCGGATGGGTGTGGTTTTCTGCAAGGAAAACAATTATGAGGTTGTTTGCATATCTTGGTACATGTAAGCAAATTTTTTTGGACTCCCACTATGTGTCTGGGAGAGTGAGCAAATAAAAAGTAAGGGTTATTGTGCATTTCCTATTCTCACTGGGGAGACAAAAAATACGGTCAGTCTTGAATGTGGACTGCATAGGTAAAAGCCCAAACATGATGGAGAATGGAGAACGCTCATCTGTGGCAGCCATGTGACGCAGGCTGTTTCAGTGCTGCTGCTCTGGAGCCTTCCGGCAACTATCAGCTCCAGCCTGGCTCTATCAGGGGTTAATAACTATGAAAATCCTAGAAACATGGGTTCCCTTGACATCTAAAAATGCTGGCTTGGTGGTGGCATGTGATGTGATGAAATTACAGTCTAGTGGATGAAAAGGGAAGGTTATGGATGCCAGGTTTAAAACATTTGGCTGTGGTTCTGCAATGGAAGAGAAAGGTGGTAGAGGAAGCCTTGACCATCAAAAAAACGTATCTCGCCAAGGAACTCTGCCTTCTTCCTGTGAAAATGCACTGCTCCAAGCTGGCGAAAGAGGCAATCAAGGCCACCCTGGCTGAATGCAAACTGTAATAAGACCCAAGACAGGAGAGGAGGAGAAGAAATGAGCTTTGGTAAAGCCCCCAAAAGGTGACATGCTATTTGGCCTCCTGCCGTGCAAGTACAGATGTTCAGAAGCTCCTCATGCTGGTAAAAAAAAAAAAAAAAAGCCCATCACACTATGAGATGTGCACATCTGCTGTCGAATCATGGTTCTCATGCAAGAAAAATACACAATTCTGTTGTTCTGAATCCTATGGTTTCATTCAGCCCACTTCTATGGTCTTAACCCAGTTCATTATATTTGAACTGCGTGGCCTCAAAACTGAAATGAGTAAAGTCTCAAAAGTTTTAACAGACTAGGGCCTCCCTGGTGGCGCAAGGGGTTAAGCACTGCACTATGAAGCAATCCACAGTCTTTGCAGCACAAGTTCAATCCCCGGCCAGCCAGGGTGCAACCCATATGGCAAAGCAGACCTCTCCTGTCCCGCCCACTGCTCCCCTCAGCAGTGTGTGTCAGTCAGTCTGCTCCCCACTCTGTCTCTGGTGAATCCTCTCACCCTCCCGCATCTCTGGCCTGTACCCCAGCTCTTGTATGCATAAATAAATCTTTTTTTAAAAAAAAAAAGTTTTCACAAATTATAAACTTCACAAATATCATTTTACTTGGATCTCTTTTAGAGAAGATTAAATAGGACACCTTGTTATTATGTGAAAGAACTAGTTATTGCACATAAAGTATATCTGCACATATATAAGAGAAAAAATATACAGACCATCAGCAAATTATGAGATTCCATGTGGTTAATCCAGCAATTGAGACACTGGGAAAAAGTGTAAATGGACTAAATTCCTATATAGAAGGAACCAACAAAAGATGTGTAAATATTGATGGATTAGGACAGAAAGGACAGGTGGGATTCAGGACAGGGAGTCATACCTAAGACATTCCCAGACAGGGAAAAGCTTTTGTAATAAATACATTTGGCTGATATCATAAATATGTAAGACATTTATTTACCAAATTTTAAGACATTCTACATGAACTGGACCACATCATAATATATAAACAAAATAGTTTTTTGGTTTTTAAAAAAAAAAAAAAAAATCAAGGCATACTACATAATCACTGTAGCTGGAGGTTGGGATTAAAAAGTTCTGACAACACACACAGGTGAGTGGAGAGCGTGAGTAAGCAGGGGTCATTCTACTGACACAGGCTGGCTCTGCCTGCTATCCAATAACCCACATACCTGAAGGGCCTCCAGCTTCTCCTGCTGCTGGCGTATTTTCTCTGTCAGCTGCTTCTGCTTCTCTTCCTGTGTCTTCAGGTCCTTTTTGAATGTTCCCAGGGGAACCTTCTGCTTCTGTTCAGAAGCTTCACACCTATACAGAGAAGATATTAGGGACATTTTGGCAAAACAGGGCTCCAGGTAGGCGGGTCCTTCTTCCTCAGCCAACCATGCTGTCTCTCACCAGAGCAACCAACTCAGAGTTCTCCAAGTACACTGAATTAACACTCACTGTAGAACACAACCTGCCCTTACTTCCAGAGCACTTATTACGTGTATCAAGACAGAGATGTAAGGATGTGAACACTGACCTCAAGAAGCATAGTGAGTTATTTACCCCAAAGAGAGAAGAGAATATGGGTGTGTGTGAGGGGCACCCACAATCTCTTTGTGAGAAAGTGCTCACCGGTCCTGCTCAGGATCAGGGTTCATGGAGCAAACCCAGGTGTCAGGGTAATCTTTTTCCACACTACTCAGCTGGAAGGGGAGGGTACGCCACTTAAGACACAAATCTGCAATACAGAAAACATCCCACCCAAGCATGAGCTATGCCCACCAACAATATCTATAATCTGGCTCCTCCCAGTCAAGCCCAAGGCAAAGATGCTTCAGCCTTTCCATACAAGTGTCTTCACACTGGTTCCAACTCTGTGTTCCTTACAGAAAGTAATTATTCTCAGAGATAGGGATTCCAGCAAGGATGGAAACTATATGGTGGACTCTCAACACCCCCTTAGACCCTGCCCCACTGCCTCTTGTGGCAGGATCCTGGCTCAGTCATCACTCACACTATAAACAGTGTGGCATCAAACCAAGTAAGATCTGGCAGGTTAGATGACTTTCTGCCTCATTCAGCAAGGACAGTAGATTTGGGTTCCAAGACCGAGCTCAGAGCCATCACCAAACACACTCATGTCCCTTGTGAGACCCTAAGTCCCTGAACGTCAGTATGGTCAGGAGGCAGGCATGGGGATGGAGAGAAGAGGGTGATGGACTACATTGTAAAGGGGTCGGGTGGGGGTTCCCACCACTGACTCACCACACTGGATGGTGGTTGGGATTTCCATAGCTCTCCTGCGTTTGTATCGAAGCTCACTGGATGGTGGCTGGTTCCAATTGGCAGAGAGGTAACCAAACTCATCCCAAAACTTGATGATTCCCCGCTGGGCTGGAAGACAAATACCCACACAGCACATTAGACACCAGTCTCCTGCTCCTCCTAAATTCATCCTTGTTAGGTAATGAGAGCATTCTAAGGCTAGAAGTGAAGAAAAGAGGCAAGGGCCAACCCATTACCAATGGCAATGTCTTTCCAGTACTGTGCCAGGTGTTCCCCCATTGCCCGCAGCAGATGCCGGTACTCCTTGGCATCAGCAAAGTCCTGCTTGTTGTGTGTAGGCTCCAAGACCAGATAGGGCACATCAACCACCCCAACAACCCCGCCACATGCCCTGCAGGGAGAGAGAAGACACAGTTTTGTCACTCCACTGTTCAGAGATTCCTTGTCATCTACCCTGGGCTGGAAACCTCTCCTTGGGCAGTACTCACATGCCCCCTTCCAGCTGTGGGCCCACTTTCTCATACATTTTGATCAACCGGCTACAGTTGTAGATAAACATGCCATCCAGGTCCCGGTGTTCAATATTAACCCCAAAAACAAAATTCAGTTCCTTAGGTTCTTTAAGTGCTCTGAGAAAACAAAAAACAAATTCAAGATCTAGCAATTAGCTCACAAGCACCACGGTGTTTAAGATGTGCTAAACTTCAGCTTAAACTTGAGGCAAGCTAAACAAAAGTTGTGCATTTCCATTCAATGTATAACCTGTTGGACTTGATAGGGAATATGTGTCAAGCAGCAACTCTAAGCATCCCTAATTAAACATATATAAATAACTTGGCTGGCTTTTGATAATAAAACAAGGATGGATTTAAGTCTGAATGGGATACACCGAAGCTGCTGCAAGTCTTGAAAAGATAATTGCATGGTGGAATAAACACAAGGTTTTTTGCATATTTACACCACACTAATGTGACAGTAGTTAATTTTAAAGACAAAAGTTCGCAAGAACAATGAACATGTAAGAAAAGAGGCCAACAAAATGTCAACAAAATTGTAGAAAGTTGAAAAGCAGATGAGCAAACAGAGGTTTGACTGAGATGGAAGAAACCAGGAACCTACGGCCACCGTGGTAAGGCAGTCAACAAGAAGCCAGGCAGGAACTCAAGGCCCAGCAACTAGGGTGGCTCCTGACATGAAGGTAGGACACATAATTTAATGACCTGGGCAGGACAATTGCCCTTTCTGGATGTAGATGAAAGAGGCTCCAGATCTCAATCTCAGCATTATCCCATCTATCCAGAGTAAGTATATTATTTGTCCTAATATATCAATAGTCACCCAGTAGCTATCACTAAGTAGTAAAGAAGAGATTTGAATTTTTATTTCAAATGTTCCAAATTTTTCAAGTTTTATAGAATGAAGAATTTATATATCCTCCAAATGAAAAGAACAAGAAAATAGTAGAGAAGGAAAAAAGAGATGAGATTGTTGCCAGTGAAGAAAGTTCGGTGTTCAATTCAAGGTACTGGCCCTGCCCTGCCACTTCCTGGCCTCAGAAAGAACCTAAGACCTCTCTCACTAGTGGGCATTTCACAAGCATTTGAGATCACAACATTAATGATTCCCTCAAAGCAATCTTTGTGATGGAATGTCGACCTTCCAGGAACGTCAACCTTCCCATTCCTGGTAAGGGATTCCTCAAGATTGTTATTGTCAATAATAGGTACAAAAGCTACGTTATTTTAAAAAGACACAATGTCAGCCTTTGGTACTCACCGCTGCTTGGCCTCTTTGATGCGCTTCTTGACATCAGCTTCTCTGCGCAGGGTAATGGCTGTGTTCTGGACCTGTCGCAACATCACCTGGAAATGTACATGAGCACCACGTGAGGAAGACTGTGCTCTGGGCCACAACAGGTAAATAATACCACATCTGAAACTTCTCACTTAAAATCACACAGGTGCAAAAACATACCTGGAGATTTCCTTTCTACAGAAAAGACATAACTAGGAGCAAACTCAAAAGCTGTGTTTCACTTGCCCAGGTCTGATAACATAGAGGAAACACCCCCCAAATGAAACAACAGACCATTACAGAGTTATGTGCTGGATTGCTGAAGCAGGAAGTCGCTAAGTCTGCAGCTTACATTCTGCTGGTTGCTGGAGTGGAAAGTTCCCATGGTGTGCTGCTTGCCAACAGTAGTAGCCATGGCTACCTTGACCCCCTTCCCAAACAATAAAGAAAGTCTATCACAGATGGGGTAACAAGCTTCCTCATACAAACTGTATAAAACCTTACCATTCCTGCAATCCCAAGCTCAGACTTTTGGTAGCTATCCCACTGAGCCTGCCAGTGTGACAAATTTCTCTCTCACCACCTCTGAGTGCCGTCTGATTTCTCTGGGAAATTGCCATAACAAGATAGAGGACAGAGAACTACTCTGACCCTGACTACTACGTGTGACTTGGGGTAAGTGACCCTCTTCACTTCAAAATATCTTTTTACAAACTAAGATACAGTGTTCTTCTCATATGGTTAACATAATGAAATGATTAGCCAAGATTTTGGAAAATATTATGCTTACCGATGATTATGGGACCATCTTAACATACCATTTTGGGCTTTAGGGCAAGGGGCACACAACTAGCCTAGGGCTAAGCCAGGTCAGCTCTGAGATGCTAATGCTAGGGAATGGCCAGAGGCCTAAGGCCTTACCCTCGAGTCCCGTGTGAGGTCTCCACCTAGGCGTAGTTCTAATGTTCGAGCTTTGCTCTCCGCTTCCCGTGCCTTTTCTTCAGCTGAAACCCAGAAAAAACCGTGATAAGGAACTCAAAGGTTCACAACTCTTAATCACCTCTCTTGAATCCCACAAAGCAATCTCCGATGGATAAGAAGCATGTACACGGTCAAGGAACAGGGGAGCTGGAAGAGCAACTCCCCTGCTTGGACAGCAGTAAGTTCAAAAAACCAAGAGGTCCCAAGAAACAGGCACTATTTATACCTGAAATATGCTTTTCAATTTTTACAAATGAATTAGAACAGTCAAAAATCACCCAAGGCAACTAGAGTTAAACCCTCAGCATGAGCTGGAAGTTATCCAGTCCTCAGTTAATCACTCTCCATCAAGCTGCTGGTAAGTCCTACTCAGCATGAAGATTTCTGCCCTGGAGTCAGGATCCAATTTCACAAGTATATGGGTCAGAGTTCACTCCAGGCAAGCCAAGGAATTGCTATTGTTTTAGGTAAGTCCCTATAAATGGCTGAAGAGAAAACAGAATTTGGGGGGGAAAGTGCTGAGGGGAACTGGTAACAGAGAAAGGTGTACAAAGAGGTGGACCAGTAATTCCGGAGGACAGTGCTATCCCTGGGTGTCAGCTTTAACTTAGGCTATAAGCAACATCTCTCAGACAACCCCCACCCCAGCATTCCCTTCTGCACAGGGCCAGTGTGGGGTAGGGGTGAGGGGGCATTACCAATCCGGGCTACGTGCTCAGCTTTCTTCACCTCCTGCTCTGCACGGGTCTTGAAGCGGCTTGATGTGTACTTGTACATCCTGAACAGGGGAAAAACAACTTAAGGGCTGAACTAGCAATGGGGCAGTACAGCAACCTGCGCAGCTGAGAAAACACCTTGCCTTGTAGCCTTCCTACCTCCTTCCAAACTGTACTGTCCCACCCTCACCTTTCCCCAAGATGAGACAAAGGCATGTTCATTCAGAGATAAAAACCAATTACTCATTCCACTGGCCCCTTACCTCCTGGCTCCATCTTTGATAAGCAACGTTACTACTCCCCAGGTGTCCACAGTAACACACCTCAGTCATCAGCCAGAGCCTTTGCTTCCCAATATAATGTTTCAAGATTCCTGAAGCCAAGATGTTCTGCTCACTGTGTCAGGCAGGGTACCCTCCATACCACAAAGGCACTCACACTCAGTATGCTTTGCTAGCCTCCCTCCACAGCCTATCAGACACCCCCACCCCTCTCTTGGGAACCTCAGTAAATCACAACCAGCTTAAATGCCCAAAGTCAACTCTGTCAGAGCCTTTCAACCAGCATCACTCCAACAATGCCCCAGAGAAATGTGTCCAGAGCCCTACCTGGGCTTGTACAGGCAGCAGGAAAGCCTCTTGGTTTGCACTTTGTGCCCATGGATAAAGATCCTCATTCGGGGATCAATGTAGAGCACAGCAGCATAGGCACGGAATGAGCGTCGCTCTGGCTTCCTGAAAAAGCAGGAAGGCAGGAATGCTGTCACCCACCCCAAGAGTCTAACCATGTACCCATGGGAGGACAACCTCGCTGCAGGCCCTGCTCCTTTCCACCTCATATCTCAGCTACTCTTGCCACTCTGAAGACGTGCTCCCTCAGTGTGGGCATCACACCCTGGCCCCTCACTTCCCCAGCACAGGTAGGTAACCCACAGGCAACTGACTGGGCTCTATCACTGCCCCAATGCAGAATCCAGGAATTGCGCTCTCCTCATCAGGTCTGTTTCTTTTGTTCCATCAAGGAGTTGAAGCAAGGGATCATTAGCCTTCTCTTTTGGCTTAAAGATCAGATTTATCACTTCTGCCTTAGAGCAAGAACATGTGGCATTCTCAACTGAATACTGGGAAATCTGGGGAATGAGCTTTTCCCCTCTCCCTCCTGAGTTTTACCTCCCTGACAGAATAAACACCAGTTCCAGGGCTTTCTTCTCTTCCCAGCCACACTCACGTGCCCTCTGGAGAAGTCTCTGCCATTTGGATATCTCGTGGATTTGAGATTATGTCTAGCTCTGGTTCTCCATTATCCATGAGTTTGAGATTGAAAATGATCACCAGCGTTCCTGGGAACAGAAGCCCTCCTTTTGTTTGCCAGCACCCACAGACCAACCCTCTGCCCTGCTTCCCCATACTACTCATGGCTGCTGCATTTTAGGGGCTATAGGCTCACATCCTACTCACCACTGCCCCCAGGAATCTTCATGAACTGGGTCATCACTTCTTCCTCATTGCGAAAGGGAGAATACTTATAAATGAGTTCTGTCTCAATGGAAAACTTCTCCACATTGTCTGTGACAGGATCCCGGGTCCGAGCATGCCAGGTGGGCAAAGGGACTATCACCTTTGGAGCAAGCACAGCAGGCACTTTGAGGGAGGTCCCAGAAGAATGTTCCACCAAAATGTACATCCATCTTGTCCCTCCCCACAGTAGTGCCACACTGCCCCAGAGGCTGGGTCCAAGCTCTGCAGCCTGGAACCAGAGGTACTGTGGCTTCTGCCCTTTCCCAAAACAGCCTCACATTGCTGTTTATGTCCTGAGGATCTCTGCACGGACAGTTCCTTGCTTGGGATGTCCCTGGTCATTTTCCTAATTTGGTAATAATACTACTCTTTCCACTAAGGAAAATTTACTTGCAATTATCTGGTAAATCTGAAGATACACACAAACATAATCCACAACTCAGCAATTTCACTCCCAGGTATATAACCTAGAAGAAACATCTCTACATATGTACCAGCAAATTTATGTAAGAATAACACAAATATCCACTACAGAGTAAATACATTAAACCACAGTATATTTATGTAATGTAATACTACACAGTGATGAAAATAAACAAGCTACTAGCTACTAACATAATTTAACAATGGATGAATCTCACAAATACATTACATGAGAAAAGCAAAATACAATAAACCAATTCTATAGTATAAATCCACTTACATAAAATTCACAAACAAAATTAACCTATTATTCAAGAATTACACACAGGTGTCAAACTATAAAGAAAAACAAGGAAATGATCATGACAAAAGTTACCTGAAGGTCGTTGCTCCAGGGGTGCAATAAGGAATATGACCAGTGAGGAGCATACTGGGGACTTCTATGATGGTGGCTACATAGGCGTTTACTTTCTAATTACTCCCTCAAGTGTACATATATTTAAACACACTCTTGCATATGTATAGTATTTTATGACTAAATAATGTTTTCAAAAATTCTATCATTGAGGTCCTAGTTGTACCTAAATGAAGCTGGGGGGTGGGAGAAAATCCTAGTCTTTCTTCACAAACTGTACTTCAAATGCCACTTCCCCAGAGACCTCAATGTCCTCCCCATGCTCTGAGCCAGAGGCTCTCAGAGCCCCGCAGATGGTAGAGGAGAACCTCTGTACAGCAAACTAATTGAGGCACTTCAGATACACAGACTGGAAAAAGGATTTTGTATTTTAACAACTGTGAGGTTGATAAAGAGTTGAGACATTTAACTGGTTTCTAAGGAACTTCCTGTCTATAGTATTCAACCCTAGGGCTGGTTTGGACACATTCCTCCCCAGCTGAAAATGATCTTATTTTGAAATCTTGGCTGAGTTCACACTAGAGTACAATCCAAAATAGTGACCTTCCAGAACCAAGTATGGAAAAAACTTCAACCTAGCTTTATCACCAGGGGAATTGAGTTCCATTTGTGTTCTGTGAAATTATACCCCACTCTGCACCTCTCATTCTTCACAGGCGTCCCAGGTGACAGTGGCATTAGTTTAATCCATGGTCTACTTCCATCAGGACCCATTCCTGCCATCGAACACTTCTCCTTTAGAGTCAATGTTACCATTCTTCTGGTTTTCCTCCTATACTTCTGGCATTTTATCTCCTTTACCACTTTTTCCTCCCCCAACCTTTAAATGCTGGCATGCCTGAGGTTCCATATCCTCTTCTCACTGTATTCACTCCTTTAGGTGAATTCACTTACTACATCAAGAATCCCTGAGCATGGACCTCCTCCAAGCTCCAGGCTCAGGCTTAACTTGACGAGATCAGAACAGAACTTATATTCTTTCCTCCAAATTCCTTTCATTTTTCTCCTGCTCCAGACAGCCCCATAGGCAGGAACTGTAATACACTGATCAAGAACCAAATCTGTGGATCCATTTCCTAAAGAGATGACTCCCCCAATTTCTCTCATCTCCCTACTATGAGTCCCCCTAGACTACAAATAGCCAGGGCCTCTCCACTGGTCCACTAAGACCCCAATCTTCCCAAACCAATCACTACACGATAACCGTATCGATCTATTTAATGAGAATCTGATGTCACATCCTTGCTTAAATTTCCTTTAATAGTCACTTTTAATAAAGTGTCATATGCACTAAGGTCCTAGGGTCAAGTCTAACCTGGCCCTCCCTGCTCTCCAGAGACTGCCACCTGGCAGACTCTGCCAAGTCCCTTCCTACTACTTTACCAGCTCTCAAGATCTTGAACAGACTGTTTCTATTGACTTGAACCCCCCCTCCTGCCACATTCAGGCCATCAGGAAACATTTCTGAATAGCCCAGCCTGGGCTGAGTTCTCCAGCCCTATCTCCTCCCAGGAGCCTGCCCTCCCCAGCTGCAGCACTTCTTTCCCTCCAAAAACACTGACTGAACTGACATATTGCATCACAAAGGCAAACAAAACTCACTAATTTGCTAAAGATAGTAGAAAAAGACAGCCTTTCATTCCCAACATGAACTAATTTGCAATGATTTAGGTGCACATCTAAAGGCAGCTAGTACAAGTTAATCACAATTAAGCAACAGAGATGAATCAGACTAAATCTTTGAATTCAACTATATGCTTTTGTGACCAGTGTGGACCTCTCTCTACAGACCCTCAGAGTTCCCTCTCTCAAGTTCTGGCCTCTATTTCTTACACATGAAAGGAAAAGTTTAGTCTGAGGTTGGGCCTTGTTCCCTGCTTCCCCCTCCCCCGCCCCCACCCCAGCAAAAGAGAGGCCACAAACCTCATCAGACTAGTTCTGCAAATAACAAAGCTATCAGTACACAAAGACAACCATTTAAGCATGCGGTTCATTTAAATGGTTAATTACCAAAATATTTTAAAATTAGAATATTCTGAGTTCATTAGGGCTTCCTTCTAGCATAGCGATAATCCTGAGTATCAGCTGTCATTTAATTACAAGTTTACAGTGATATTTTCCATATGATCACCTGTTTTACCACCCACCTGGGGCTTTGTAGATTTCTGGCTTGTAGCTTCTGATACAGGCAGTTAGAATAATATATTTTCTCAAGAAGAAAATGCAGTCATAGCACATTCCACAAAATCACCATAATATGGGAAAGACAGTGTTGTTCCTATTATTATTGCCAGCTGTGGTCTCCACCCATACTCAAGGAGGCCCAAAATACTTCTGATAAAATAACTTTCCATGGTGACACCCCCATACCTCAGACTAAATTCGAGCTATAGCTCTAGGGGAGCTACAAAGCCAGTTCTTGGTTTCTGCTAGTTACAGTCTGATTCTCAGAAATAAGGCAACTACTCTGAAGTGCTTTTTGAGATTTCTCTTCCTCTCAGATTAAGATATCTGCATCAACCAATTCAGACCCAGGAAATGTGGAATGGTGACTCAGATCACAGAAATGGGATTTACTTCATCAATGCCTTCCTCCTCGTGAAAGGTACGAGACAGAAAGAGGCAGGTCATGGTGTCGTCCTTCTTGGTGAAGAGAATGAAATCCTTCCCAATGCGCATTGAGCCCCTGAGAGAAAAGCAAAAACAGATTATTTTCCCAGGGATTCATAAGTTCATTCTGAAAAACGAACAATTGCACCCTCTAGATACGACTAAAATTGCCGGGGGGGGGGGGGGGGGGGGGGGGCCTCTCCTAAAGGCCTCTCTGTGTCTCAGGATCCTGAGCTGAGTTCCACAGCCCGCTTAATTGACATTCCTCCCTTTGCTCTTCCGTGGGCCTTAGTCCTTTCTTATAACCTTCTTACCACACTTATCCACCACACTGGGCTGCCACAACCCTTCTAAGGCACATGCACCACCTATCTCCAGCTCAGGTCAGTCTCACTGCCTGTCTGTTGCCACGGCGGTAACAAGTTAACTCTGCAGCCTGTGCCCTGGGTTCATTCCAGCTGTGCAACCATTACTAGCCCCTGACTGTGCCACTATCAGGTTTCACTCTAGTAACTGATGCCTTCAAAACATCACCTCCATGCTCACTATATCTCCAGTTCCCATCCTATCTTTCTTTCACTGATAAAAATTCCTTCTCCTGCCCTCTCATCAAACGGCAGCACCGTTATGCTCACAAAAAAACAGTATGAACCCAAGGCTCAGCCAAACTTAGGGACTAACCATACAAATTAAAATTCTTGATCATAATTTTTATTAGTGGGCAGTATGAGGGGCAACCCAAAGCCTCCAATTTCAAAGAGGTTTATCTAATTAGTTCACATCCTGTAACTACAGCCATCTTTTCTCTCAGGATTGTTTATACTTCAAGTTCATTATGATACAGGCATGTCCCTGTTTTTGAGTGCAAGGGATTTCTGGGAAATGTGGCTCAAGGCTGACTTCCACAAATCAAAAGTCTGAATGAATGAAATGCATCCTCCCTGTTTGGTCATAGTTAAGCCTTCTGAGAATCAGGCAAGAACAGGCCTTTCCAGACAGGACGAAGCACCACTGGAAAGTCTGCCCACTGAACAATGAATGGGGCTGCTTAGCTCTTTTCTTCTGAACAGCTTCTGGGGCTTTATGGATATTATCTCATTAGTCTTCATAATAGCCCACAGAAGTGATGGCACTGAGAAATCTTAGTACTTTGTTCTGTGTTCAAATACAAACCAGAAAGGAATGCCAAATAAATGCCATGTCCTATTTCCCCAATGCTCAGGAAAACTCCCAGCATACTCTCCAGAGACACCCTGGGGGCTGCTAAATCCTGTTTCTCTTCTTCCACTTCCCAAGATGCTGGCAATGCTCCTTCTCCTGACAATTTCACAGTCTTCCTCTTTCTTCCCTGAAGCTTACGTGTGGCAAAACAAGGCACCTTATTATCTTGCCTCTGTCAAAGCTTACTCTTGCCCTAATTTGGCAAACACTTCCACATTGTGCCTCTTTCTTCCTTGTCTTTAATCCTGACCTTGGAGGCTCAATAGCAACAAATGAAAAACACCACCTCTCTTAGCTGGCTTCCCTGCCTTTTAATTCTATTCCACTACCAATAACTTTCTCCTGGAACTCTTTTTCAACATCAGCATTGATTTCAAGATGATTATACTCTGAACACTAGATGGCTCCATCTCAACAGGTACTTTACAAAAGACATTCTGCTGAAGTGTATTAATAACACTCTCAACTTCTATAAATTTTCTTGCCCCATCGTCTAAGCATTTTTAGAGCTACATTTCAAGCCCTTTGTCAGAGATGAGAACCCCCTTTTCTAGCTTAGAAAACATATATTCAGGGGCCTCCCTGGCAGCGCAGGTGGTTGAGCACCACACTGTGAAGCTGTCAGCAGCCTCAGCAGCATGGGTTAGATCCTGGCCAGCCAGCAAGAATCCCACATGGCAAAGCAGACCTCTCCTGTCTCGCCCGCTGCTCCCCTCAGCAGTGTATTTCGTCAGTCTGCCTGTTCTGTTCCCTGCTCTGTCTCTGGTGAATCCTCCCACCCTCCTGCGCATCTAGCCTGTACCCCAGTTCTTGTATGAAAATAATCTTAAAAAAAGAAAACATATATTCAGAGAGGTGAAATGGCTTACCTGAGCTACAGAATTGCTAAAACCAGGTAGGAGACCTTACATGGGAAATAAGGGCTTCTTACCTCACACTAACCTGTTATTGAGGACTGAGATCACCTACACCAGAATTATCTGGGGGAACCTATGAAAAACACAGAATTCCTAGGCCCTATTCCATACTCACTGAATTAGAACAAGAATCTGCCACAGAAAGATCAAAGAAATAAGAAGTCAGAAACCAAACAAGACTTCTCACAGCAATGAGAGCATTTATTCTTGAATCTACTTGGCATGTATTACACTTCCAATCTACAAAAGAGGAAGCTAAGAGGGAACTAGCAAAGTAGCTAAGGTGAGATTTGAACTTTAATTTGTCTGACTCAAATGAGATGGGCAACAGCTCCGACTCTGCAATCAAAATGATGTAGGGTTCATGTGTCAGCTCCACATTTGCGCATTTTTACACCTTAGTCATTTCACCCTAATAATCCTCATTGCTCTCCCAATTATGTTTATTGAGGCAAAGTTGGTTTACATCATTTTATTTGTTTTAGGGGCTACAGGCTCAAACCTCTACAAATATGTTTTCAGACCATGCCCACCTTCAAGCCCCAATAATCCTCTACCATGCTCCATTGGGTCCCTTCCTCCCCAACTCCCACCGTGCCCCTCCCCTTTCTGGTTGCCTCAATTTTGCAGTCAGATGTCAACAGTTAGTAAACCTCAATTTCTTCATTCCAAAATGAAAATAGCAATATTCATACCTCATAGAGCTACAGTGAGGATTATATGAGTTTTTAGCACAGTGCACCTGACACATAAGTGCTTGTTCTTATGATTTCATTCCTGCCCTGCAGACAAATCATAATATTCAGGTACCAGATCCTTAAAAGTTTTTGGAAAAACTCTTTCTTGCCCACACACCCAAAGCACTCTGCACCTGAGACAATAACCTAACTGCTGATGTTACTACCAAACCACCCCGCTCGTGAAAAGAAAACGACATTTCCACAGCAAGACTGGAAACTTGACTCAGAATTCCATTTGTACAAACTCCAATTCCACTAAATCTTATTCCATTCAAAGGTATGTACAGCTGGAAGTGAGCATTTCAGAAATAGAAACCTTTCTCATGGGGCTTCACTAAAAACCACAACAACACATTCCAAACACCAAACAAGTGGGAACCAAGGGCAGAGAAAGAAATCCCAAGAGATCTGAAGACATTAGGTAGGTCTCTGCTACAGGGGCTAACAGGACATATGTGGAGACCACATACAGGCCTCTTACTCACACTGGGTCCCCGACAGCTGGCGCAAAGTATGACAGGTGGCAGGTGCTCAGGGAATACTGTTATGCTGTGAAAATACCCTCTTCACCCTCTCAATCCTAACACCACAAAACAATCACTAACACCCTCAAATACAGGGTGAAAAATAAAAATCTTCAGTAGGAGAGGTAAAGTTCCAGAATACAGTGCCAACAGAAACCTACAGCTTCTCCACCCTAACTGGCTTTAGACATTCATATATTTCAATCTGTCAAGTAGTTTAGGATGCAAAATAGCTAGTAAGCCCCCAAGCCACTACTTTTTTCTGACTTCCCTCCTGTTTCAGTCATACAGTGGAGGATCAAGGAGGAGGAATGTTTTCACAAACAAAAGTAGGCCAGCATCACTTAATTTTTGTTTTGGGCCCCATGACAGGTTTCTAGTATACTTACGATTTTAACCCATTCCCATACTGCCCAATCTGAGTGGACTCAGGTGTTCGTTTGGCTGACTTCCCAAATTGGATCACACTGGCAGCATCACCTGAAGTGTTGGGCACAAGAAAAAGTGAAAAATTTGCATTTTTTTTCCAGCCTCCTCAAAAATCAAAGGTCTTGATATATCCTTGTTAAAGCAGGGCTGTGCAGCTACCTCTGTTCAAGGAAATTCACAAGCATGAGGCAAATGAGGCAACCGCTGATTGGCCCCTCAGTACTGACTTAATTATGATCTTGTTCTGTTACTAGAATACCATAAAGCTGGTGGAGGCCTCTGTCATTCTGTCCCCAGGAAGTTGTACAAGTTAATAAATACAATATCAAGAGACAGGTATACTGATTTACTTCTGGTTGCCTATCTTCCAATCTCCCATACTAGGACAAGACCCACTAAATACACCAATGGAATTAAGCCTGTGATGTTGCAAGAGAGTGCACTCTCCCCAGGTGGATTTTCTAACGACAATAGTGAGGGATCAGAAAAATGTTATACAATAACTATTTTATAAAAATGATTACATCTTCCCAAAAGCAACACAATCATCTCATCACTTACTTGGATCCATTCCTGCTCCATCATCCAAAAAGCAAAGCATAAATCCTCCTCGAAGGTCATCTCGCCTTTCTGTTAAAAAAAAAAAAAAAAAAAGAGAACTGCCATTACTGGAGTACTACCCACCAGAGGGTGGTAACATGGTTATGATCACAAGGTAAACCAATGTAAAGCTTGATTCAAAAAGGTCAGGTCACACCTAGCTTTTCCTTCTAGACCTAGTTGATGAGTTAGACATCAGGACCCTTATGGGGTGGAATTCCCATCAAAAGTACTCCAGTGCTTTTCAGTTCATGATAAAGCATGAGAGAATTTGTAAGAAAGGCAGGGAAGACTGACCAGCATCTAATCACACCCATGCATAACACACTGAATATGCGTATATTTCATATATACCACAATCATTTTTCTGCCTTTCTCTACCTCCTCTTCTACCTCTGCTCTCTGCCATGAACCACAAGCTACTACAATACTCCAATTAGTGCTCAAATTCAAAAGGAAATCTACTCTGTGGGTTAAGTCTGAGGTAGCCTTCAGACGAAGCAATAAAATAAAACAGGCTATGAACAAAGAGGTGGCAGCTGCTATCTAGAAGGGAACATAGGGCCTTCCTGGAGGTTTAGGGTATTAAGTCTCAGCACTGTCACCACTGCGGCCTGAGTTCAATCCCCAGTCAGGGAGCTAACCCACAAATGGCGCAACAGATCTCTCCTGTCTCACACACTGATCCCCTCAGCAGTGTATTTCAGTAGATCCACCTGTTCTGCTCCCCACTCTGTCTCTGGTGAATCCTCTCACCCTTTGCACCTCTGGTCTAGAACCCTAGTTCTCATAAATAAATAAATAAAATAAAAACAAATCTTTAAAAGAAAACTGAAGGGAACATAACTGATTACAGCATTCTAGTGGGTATCTCCTGCAGCACCAAGTGGTACCTCATGGTTGCCTCATACAAGCATGTCACAGGCAATGGAGAAGAGACTCCCAAACAGGGACGGGGAGATAATGGAGTTTCAAGGTGCCTTTTGACACAATATTGAGGACTAGGCAAGCAAAGGAGGAACAATACAGGTCTTAGAAGAGCACTTCTACTAAAAGAAGATCTGTGTAAGGTACTAAGGGACAAGCCCAAGACTGCTTTGACTTTTTTAGTCAAAGGACTTCCCCCCCCGCCCCCACAAAGATTTATTTATACAAGCACTGGGTACAGTCAGAAGCGCGGAAGGGTGAGAGAATTCACCACAGCCAGAGCGGGGAGCAGAGCAGGCACTGCCGAGGGGAGCAGCAGGAGGCAGGAGAGGTCTATGCAAAATGTGGGACCCTCGTCCGGTGGCCAGGGAGCAGCCAGGGATCAAACCGGTGCTGCAGAGGCTGCGGGCAGCTTCGTAACCCAGCGCTCAACCGCTGCTCCACCGGGGAGGCCCCAAAGGACTTTTTAGTCTCCTCCAAGTTGTAGCTCACCAAGTTTATACAAATCTAGGCAATCTCTTTGTCCTCCCCTTGGGCTAAAGATTCATGTGAGTCATGACTACCTTCTGTTAACTGAACTAGTTAATGTAATTTAAAATGCTATTTCAGAATTACTATAAACCACAGAGATTTTCAAGTATCAGTGTTCAGGAAACTGAACTTTGCTGGAACTTTTTTATTAACACATGCTTCTTGAAAGTTCAAGGTCAAGGATCTTCCTGGGGGTATTACTGGTAGACAAGAAAATTTCTCTTTGTGGCAATGCCTGAGTCTAGAGAATCCAAATGAGATCTGGCAAGCAGGAGTAAGTACAAGAAAAATGCAAAAGGGTTTCAAAGTTTCTATCTGGAGGAAGTGTCACATGGAGACAAAGGAGGTCAGGTAAAGGATATGGTAAACGATTCTAATTCTAGGTAAGAGCTATTTGCTGTACACAACAGCCATAAAATGTACATGAAGATTCTGCTTTGAGATCTAGAAGCTGGTATGAGCATTTGAAAAGTTCCCAAGAATTACCATCAATTCCTGTATACTACCTAGGAACTACTTCTAGGCCCTTGTGTTAGAACAGGACTCACAAGTTGTTTTAAAACACAATCATCACTTAACACTGGGTCTGGAATCACTTTCAGCTCAAGGACTTCATTTCAAAGCTTTTTTATGTGATTTAAAGAGGCGTAAGAGGGATGTGTCCTGGACACACAGTCCTACAGCCTGTAAATAACCAGTGGAATCTAGGTCCATGGTAATTGTCTCAGGGCCAAAGCAAGACAAGTTGACACAACAAAATCTTCTTCAACTTTACATACAGGTATTGTGGCATCATCAGCTGGCTAGAACACTTATCCCAATCACATGTTTACTTGATGAATATTTACTGACCATTTCCTGCATGCCTGGGTCTGTAATAAGGATAACAGATAAATAACTGCCTTCATGAAGCTTACGGTCCAGTTGATACGACTATCTATAGCAAATCAGGTAGCCAGGAAGATTTAAGCAGAATGAGACGGAGAAGAGTTACTGGGTAGAGAAAAATGTAGTGCATAAGAAATCACCTGAAGAACTTGTTAAAATACAGATTCTGGACTCCATCCTGGGAGGTCTAATAATATTGGTCTGAGAATTTGCATTTCAAATAAGCTCCCAGGTGATGCTCATGTGATCCATTGGTGAACCACTCCTGAGAAGAACTGAGTCACAGCACATAAGAACCAGAAGGCTTCCCTGGTCAAAACTATTTCCCCGGACATTTTACCAGTTAAGAGATACATTCCTAACACCTGATAATTACTTTAATCAGTCCAGAAGCGCTATCTGAAGACTCCAAGAAAAGGATTTTGATAAAGGCGGGACGTTCTAGAGAAGAGTGTCTAAGCAGCTGCAGGTTGTGTGCATCCTTCCCATGACACATCATGGAAGCTAGAGGGAGGGCAAAGCCAAAGGGCAAAACCAAACTGCCTTCTTTGAAGTTGTTCTTCAGATACTGCTAACAGCTATGAAAGAACCAACTTGGAAGCCTGCAGATTTAAGCTTCCCCCAAGTCTCGCTTCTCCAAATTAACAAGACATTCCTCCATTCAACTCCCACTGGGGAAATGAAAAGAAGTGGGGAGAGTGAAGATGCAAAATGGAGCTAGAAGTAAAAAGTCAGCAGTGTTAAAATGTCATTTTCAAAGCTATAATAAAATGATATCCAAAAGTTTTTCATCATACTTCATAATCTGAGCAGTATTTATTTCCATTACAACTGTTCTCATTTTCCATTTATTTACATTAAGTTGGCATCACAAAAGAGATCTTTCTTTGAGGAGATGGCACTTTCTATACAAAGAAGTAAAGAAAGTCAAAAGAACCCAAAGTCTACTTCTGACAGGCATATCACGATCTGGACCCATTTAGTAGGACTGCTTTGGTTACATGATCACCTCCAGACTGGTTGTCTGGTTCCTTTCTTACCCTTCTTAGGTTTAAATACAACCTTTTCAAATGTGACTTTGTGATGATTGCAAAGTATCAATATATCTGATGTTTGGGGAGACCAAGTTCAGAATTGGAGAAAGGAAAATACTTTCTCCCATACACCAACAAGAATTTCACAATATTAAGATATTACTGATTCTGTTATTCATCTTATTGAGATCTAAATGTATGAAGTTAAGAACACCTCAGTCAAGACTCCCAATCAAGTTAACTGGAGTAAATCAAGTCTTTTACCAAAATCCAACAGTGTTTAGTGCTTCTATCACACCATCTAATCCTTAATTGCCTTGAAAGTTCCCACACGAGCACATTATTGTTCTCTAATCATCCGTACAGAGTGCTAACTGTCTTCCCAATTAGAGACCAAATTCTTGGAGCAAAGGTCACATCTATCCTCTCATTCCGCCCAAAGCACAAAAATAACTGCTAAACACATAATGAATGCACACTGAACCCTTTCCACTTAAATTGAAATCCAACTGTTCTGCTGTATTCTAATTGTCAAAAACTAAATTTCCTTGCTGAAATTTGCCGAACAAAGGTGTTAAGAGGGAACACAGATGATCTTTTTTAAAAACTTCTTCCAAACAGACAAGTCTATGATTTCTCTCTTCCATGTCATTTGGAGTAGAAATCCATTCTCTTGCTTTGCCATCTGTGCAATAATTACAACAGCCACCATTTTCTTCAGAGGAGCTGTTACCACTAAAGCACACTGAGCTGCAAGTCACTGTGCTTTAGGAATGGTATCTCCATCTGGCCTGAAGGTTTACAGCCTCTTCTAACATTCTTCTGGAGTCCCTCTTTTCCCTGTACTTTCTTCTAAAAATAAAAAAGGCCTTATTTTCATTGCTTTTGCAGTCTTTTAAACAGAAGGATTTCAAAATTTAAGCAGTTTAGCTGACTTCTAGCTGTTATTTGCTCCAAAGTCTATCAGGCATGAGAAATTCATCGTATCTGGGGAGACTTTTTTGTAACTATGACATTGGAGGTTCTGAGTTACTTCTTAGTTGTACCCTTGTTCCAATCTATCAAATGACATAGGTCCATGAAGAGGGGACTGATAACTACATAGTCCCCACAAAATATACCCCAGTCTTCTCAGAAGCCAGTCAATGTTAGTCACCTCAAACCTTTAGAAGACTTTAGGAAAAGTTTTTCAGAAAAACATATCATGCTAGTCACACTGTATTCGAAAGCCATCCTCCTCTATTTTTCTTCCAAAATTTTAGCATTCAAATGACAAAAAAAAAAAAAAAAAAAAAAAAAAAACCATACTGGCACAAATATTGAACAGGGAGAAAGCAAACTTTTTTACAAGGCCAATAATAATTCATTCCCTAACTACTCCATCATGCCCGTAAATCTCCTAAATACTATTTTCGCAGATCTATAGATCTCAGCACCCCTGTTAGTTTATTTACACCAGTATTCTTCATTTCTATTACATGCCTGACCAGGGATGCTCAATTTCTACCTATGAGCTTAAGTAATTGTGTCTTGAGTAACCAGGCTACAGAAACCAGTTATTTCCCACTCATTTCTTCTTAGACACAGCACTAAAGGCATTGAAAGGAACAGGACATTAAAAGAACTAACACCTGACTTACCTGCATAAATATCTATTCTTGTGGCATCAGCATCTCTGCAAAATTAAAAGGGAAAAATCAAGATCCAAGTAAGAATATGAAATATCAAAATGTGTATTATTTTGAGTGGAGTGCAAACTATTTTGAGTCTATTTTTAGGAAGTCACACAAAAATTATGTACATTAAAGCTATACTTCCTTGCAACACAATTTTCCTTATATATCTATGAAACACTTTTAAGGTTTCAATTTGAAATAATCACATGCCATACGGGGTATGAACTTTTTTTTTTTTTAATAGAGATGTCATAGTGAAAACATCCGCTCAATGCAATCATAAAATATCTTCCAATAACTTGTCCATCATCTTTCTCACAAAGTTATTAAATGGAAAAAAAAGCCACAAAGCCTATAAAAAAAAATCAAGTCTTGTGGTATACACATCACAGTCGGCAGTCTGACTCACAAGCCTATACATAATCTTATCCTCTCAAACCTTAAAAGTTGGGGTTCCCCATTAGACTCCAGCAATAAGCTGAAACAGAAATTCAGTCATCAGTGAAGGATTGGAAGTAACTAATCCAATTCTGCTAACTACAGTCAAGGAAATGAGGAATGGAGATTTTCAATAGTTTTTAAATGCAAAAACCCACTCAAATCCACATAGCTCTAGAGGTATGTAGTCTTATAAAAATCTTTTTCAAGTATGAACGCTGGCAAAATTTGAGCATCTGCACATATATACACACTCCCAGGAATCTCTAATCTACGATACTGTGCACAAAAGAGCAGCCTGCCACAGCAAACTATGGTCTCACTAAGCTAACAAGTAACAAATTCAGAGTTCCATTAAGCTACATATTTAATTTGAATGTAAAAATTATGAGTCAAACAGGATTGAAATAAAATGGGAATTGTCTTGTTGAGCTTATTAAGCAGCACACTCTCATAAGCAATCCAGTTAATAATAATAAAAGTAATAATACTATAGGTTTGTATTAACATAGACAGAAAATTATCAGCAAGCTCATTACTGAGAATCTGTTTAGAAATACTTCTGTTGTTAACTCTTAACCTCTTCTAATCACCAACACCTGGTTAATAAAAAATTTTATATTTGCATTCAATTTTATGACTTTTATCTGCATTTTCATAATAAAATTGCAAACATAATACAATTACAAAATCTTGTTTTGGACTTCACTATTTGTTTACCCCCAAAGCAACCCTAAGTTCTATTCTGTCTTGCACAGTAACATTTAAAAGCTTCCATCACTAAGAACTGTATAAGACATTGCTGAAGGATTTCTTCAAGCACAGATGCTAACTATCAAAGATGTTTTGATGAACTGGAGTCATTTGACAATAGAAAATACATTTTGGGGGGAGACGCAGAATAGGAGGTGGTGTACTGTCCTGGTAGCACAAATTAAATCAATTTGTCCTATTAATTTGATTCCTAAGTGTCTATATTAATTCCCTCTGTTTCACTATAATTATCTTGTTATAACAATACACGAGGGAAGGTAGCTTTGGAGGGCCTAAGTTCACTATTTTTAGGCTAGAACACAGAGCAATGAATGAATTACAGTTCATCAAATATCATTTAATATGCTTTTATTAAAATAATACTTTTTGGATAAGCAGCCTCTCAGGCGTTGCAGCTGCTACAGAGCTAGCTTCCTCCTGGTCTTCAGAAACCAAAGGTCACAGCTACCCAAAAAGTTTCAAGGACAGACTATATACCTAAGACTACCTACCTTGCATTATCAACCAGTTCAGCAAGAGCACCAAACAAGAATTCATGAGTAGTTCTGAAATGATAAATAATACTAAGAATCAGCAAAGAATTATGTAATTGAATGACAAATTCTAATAAAATTCAAGGTTTTAAAATACTAAAAAGCTTTTAGGAAAATAAATCAGAAAGTGAGATTTGCATTATCAATTTACAGAAATTTAAACTTCACAATTCAAGTCCTTCCACAGTTTACTAATCCTCAAGTAATAATCAAGTCCTATCTACTCAGAAATGTTTAGTCTTACTATGTGAGTAAACCTACTATAAAGCATTAGAAGATTCCTCTCAGAAGTACTAAGAGCAATATTCTCATTCTGCTTAGGAAAAATGCTGTATTTTACTTTTCATTGCCTGTAACCAGCTGTCAGTTTCTGCGTATCTCTAAGCATGCTTACTGAATAATTTGTTAGCATTTGTTTTACCATTATCTTGTGTGTGATGTACCTATAAAGAAAGAAAACCTATTCACTTTTTGCAATTTATAAACAAAAACATTCCATTTCAAAGTGAGACAAAAAAGAATAACCTATTAACTTTCTCTAACTTTCTCTAATTCTGGCTAAAAGCAGAACATTTTCCACATTAAAAAAAGGAAATCCAGGCCTCCCCGGTGGCGCAGCAGTTGAGTGCTGAGTTGTGAAGCTGCCCGCAGCCTCTGCAGCACTGGTTCGATCCCTGGCCACCTGACGAGGGTCCCACATGGCACGCAGACCTCTCCTGCCGCCTGCTGTTCCCCTCAGCAGTGTACTTCATCGGTCTGCCTCTTCTGTTACCCGCTCTGGCTCTGGTGAATTCTCTCACCTTCCTGCGCTTCTGACTGTACCCAGTGCTTGTATAAATAAATAAATCAATCTTTAAAAAAAAAAAAGGAATTCCAAACTCCTCTTGAACAATTTTTTTCCACAAAAACTTGGGAGTGGTCTCCTAAGGCCCCTGTTAAGAAGTCAATTATCTCTTCTGTGAGGCTGCTCAAAGTTTGGGCTGGGTGAAAACACAAATTACCATGTTATTCAGAACTCTAAATAAAAATGTTATTTATGCATAAGATACATCCTTTAAATTCTCTTTAATTTGTGCTATTTCCTCTAACAGTCTTCATCAAATATAAAAGCAGGATATGTCTACCTAGAAACATTAACTTCTAAATAAATATAAAATCATTAACCCATATATTACCATCAATTTAAAAAAATTTTTAAACAAATTTAAAAAACTTAATCTTTTTTTGGTATATAAAGTTTCAGCCAGTAAAGTGAAAATGTCTGCAAATTTAGAATGAAAAATATCAATATTAAATAACTAGCATGTAGGATCACTTACTACTACTGTTTAAAACTATAAAACGTTTTATAAAATGAATGCCCAACAATGAACTGTTCAGGAACACCAGTTTTTCCTCCTCAAAATGGAAATTTAGAATTAAAATGACAAGACTTTTTGGAATTTTAGGAAGAACTTTTCCCCATGAGATCAGTGAATGTGTCTGTTGCTAATCCAAAAGCAGCACCTGAGTATTTTAACAAAAAGTAGAAATTTTACATGCAATTAGTCTAGGAAATAAAGCTCAAACTCTTCTGACCAAAATCCAATCCTCAGTTTATAAGGAATAGAACAATTAAGGAAAAAAAACTACCCATATTTTTAATCATCTTAAATTCTTTAGATTATCATCCAAAGAAACAAGAAATGTATCCTGTGATTATTCCATGAAATAAGGAATAATAAGTTTAAAAATTAATGTGATTTGCTGAAGTTACAAACATTTGCTCTCAAATTTTCAGCCAGTCATTTTCTGTTTGACTTAGAAGTGACTTGGAAACTTAGAGAATTTAGTTTTCCATACTATAATATTTTTTAATTTTTAGGACTATTATGTACAAATATAAACCAATTTTTTGTACTACTTCTCATTTCAACATCTGTACTTTAACTTGCCAAGGAATTTCAGAAGTATGCTCAGAAATTATAGCTCAGGAAAAAAAAAGAACATAACTGAGGCTACAACATGAATGCAGAAATGCAGTGTGTTTGGAATAGTAAAAGGAAAGAAGGAAATACCTGGCATTTGGAAGAAAATGGTGACTATGAATAATCTGGAAAACCAATTCTGATACCCGTTGCCATCAGGGCAAAGATATGAAAAGCAGAAATACAGACGACTACTCAGCAATATATATTTATAACTGCTTCACATAGCCAAAGACATTCAGAATTTAGTAAGATCTCGAAAGGACAAAAACACCTCCATGTTCACTGTTTCTACACAATATTTAGAAATGTGCCTGTACATTTAAAAACTAAAGAAAATATCCCAAAGATCTCTATTGTTCCACACAGTATTGATGCTGTACCACAAATATAAGTTAACAAATATCTTCAAGATGTTGCTAAGTGGTACTTTTGTGATAAGTACTGACACATCATAAAAGGGGCCTTTTGTGACAACTCTTGGAGAGATAATACTCAGAATCTTCTCCAGACCTGCAACTGATTAATGGTGGCTCTACTAACAAATGCTAAAGCCAGAGTTCTAATTATCTCTTAAAATCCTAAGACCCAAAAAACATATCAGTGGTTTAATTTCCCCCTTTTTCCCAAATAACATTCAAAAAAGTGTGCTCATTACTAGCTAATACTTGCAGTAGAGATATCTGGATAAATATTAAAGGAAATTCTTTTCTTCACAGACCTAAATATCTTTTGCATGGGATCTAAAAAAGATCAATCATCTGCAAAGATTTTTAACAAACACTTTCATTTTCAACAGATTGTGGCTTTTATGAACGTTGTTTTATGATCAAAACAGTTCTGCAGCTCAATGTTTGCAGTGATAAATTGAGGTGCAACTCTACTCATTTTGTAAAGAAAATGGTCTCCCTGTTTATTTCAGCCTGAAATGAAATCAATAGATTCACAATCTCATCACGATGATACAGTTTACATACAAACGGCTTTAATATATTTAGAGTGTAAACCTACATTTCAATAGGATTATGTAAGTCATGAGAAATATTGTCTCAAAACTTGACGGGTTTCTTTACATTCACTCAACAGATGAAACAACCAAAAAGATACGGCCAAGATAGTAAGTTATTAAATGTGCCAACAGGAATGTCCTTTCCCATAGAAAGCAGGCATCCTTTATTGAAGCATCCTGCTCTACCAAACCACTTAGCAAAGAGAGAATTTATTTCTGCATCTTCTACCAAAGCAATATGACTACAATTGCCTCAAGAATCAATCACCTAGATTGCTCCACTTCCAATTAGCAATCTCAAAACCTAGTACACCAAAGAGCAGCAACAGCATTATATTTATTTAAAAGCCCTTTTTATTTAAAATAAATCTTTTGTCATCTAAGCAAAATCTAGTATTAAAAGACAAAGATAATGAGACTTTCCCTTAATTTCTGTTTTAAACCTTAATGTAACCAAGAGAATAAGCATCACTACAAACCCAATACCAAAAAAGTTTAAATTACTGTTCAAACACTCCAACAAATGCTCCAGAATTTACTAAGAACTTATCTCTGTAATGACGAGCACCCAACACAAACACAGTGACCAACTTTTGGTTTACATAAGCTATTACTATAAAAATAATCACCATCATCTAGTCAATGTTACATACAATATTAATTACTTTATAAACTTATACAATCCTCATAATCAGATTAGCCCCATTTTAGACAGAAAAACTGACGCTCTGAGCAGTTGACCTGGCCAAAATTCTCAGTTAAGATGCAATCTAATCAAGGCCTGACTGGCTCCCAATCCCATGCTCTTTCCACTGCACCACAGATTGCCACCACTCTAGTCTGAGTTCCACTTGCAAATCTACACTAAATAGGAGGTAAGAAAGGGCTACTTCTTTCAAAATTAATAGTCTGGTAATAATGTAGATGTTAGACACCTTACAATAGTTTTGTTTTAAAAATTGCAACAAAAGAGGAAGTATTATGACAAATCCTTCCTTTTCTGAATTTGACTTTGCAACAGTTAACGCATGATACATCTACCATCACTTCAAGTAATGAGTCACAGCTTTTGAAACTTGAAAGTGTTTTCATCTAAAAATGAACTTTCAATCAGGGCACCACTATTAAAAAAAAATCTTAAAATTAGTTGCAAATCAGAAACTTATCCTGTTCTGGGTTCGTTATTTCCTTCCAGCAGGACTGGACACATTCAAAAGTAGACAATTTCAAGATGTGATCCATTAAGAAATTCCAGAGCTTCCAAAATCATATATCCAACCTTCAAATATTCAGGCAAGAAGGTAATTCTACTTCAATATGGTTAAGTCAAATTCACAGAAAAATTTTCAACTTCACTTTAAACAAGTGTCTTAACTGACATCTGATTCTTTGCCATGGCTCCATCTATTTATTGGTAATAAACTATAAAATGGGAAAAGAAATTTTAAAAAGAACAGAAATATCCCAGAACCCCCATATTGGAGGCTTATTGAGATAAACTAAAATTAAAGACTTTTCAAGTGGGAAAGAAATCTTAATAAACAAGGAAAGAAGTTCTTGAAGGTGCAACAGACTAGTCACTACTGCCTAAAGGCAGAACCAAGATTGCCGCCAGATAATTCTGCCTTAAATCCACCATTTAGCAGCAGTTTATGTAAACCTTTAGCATGTAAGGTAATCTCTTTGAGCCTCAGTTTCCTCAAATGCAAAGCTATAATCCTTATCCCAGTAGGGTGGCTATACAGAGTATTTTAGACCATGTTTAACTGATGCAACTGTTATTTTTTTTTTTTAAACAAAGCCTTTAGAAAAGGCAGAATTCCTGCTGGTGGTCTTCAAATGCTATCATACAGTCAATCCAAATTTGGCTCCTTGTTCCAAAATGTGTCAATCACAATGATCTGTGAATATCTAAGTGAGCTTGTTCTCAATGTGGAAGTTCAAATATTGAGAACTGCTTGTTCTCAATGTGGAAGTTCAAATATTTATTAAAGGATACCCAAGGTTTTGCCCAAGGTGCTGCTCCAGCTAGCTGAGAAACCTCTGATCAACAATGGATTGCTAGATTTCAGATTCACCAGGCAAAGCATAATAATCCACTAGGTGACACTAAGGGTGGGTACTCTGATCTCTGATGCGCTCTAAAGCTCAGTAAGTTTCCTAAGCAAAACCAGGCTCTCATTGTTTGGCAATTGACTACTCAAAAAGTTTCCTTGATAGAAAAAATAGCTAACAAAAAATTATAGGCATCACAAATAATATGTCCTTTCCCATAAATGGCGAAAAATTATTGTACTAAAAATTATTGTATTGGATCATTGACGTGCACGTTCTGAATCCGGAAGATGGTTCTTCAGGTAACTTGAAGCCATTCATTTATTCAATCATCTCTCCAGGTTCGAAAACGGTAGCATACTTACCTTCCTCTCAAAACGGATAATGAACATATAAAAACACAAAATAGTCACTAACCTTCTGATTACTTCTAAGAGAGAAGGCATAAGGATTAAAACTACAACATTCCAGACCAAATGTGGAGTGATTATTTCTTCATGAACACAGTATGTGTTCTGCGATTTGCACAAAAACTGGGGAAAACTAAAAGTTGCCATTTCTTGCTAGCTTATACAAACTATACTGGATGTAGGGAAGGATTTCCCAAGAAGACACAGCCAACTGCTGAATAAAACTTCAATTTCTTGTTACAAGTTGTCATTTAGGTATCTTTTTTTTTTTCCCTGTTAAAAAACGGACTTATTGGGCCTCCCTGGTGGCGCAGCGGTTGAGCGCTGGGTTGCGAAGCTGCCCGCAGCCTCTGCAGAGCCGGTTCGATCCCCGGCTGCTCCCCGGCCACTGGAGGAGGGTCCCACATGGCACGCAGACCTCTCCTGCCGCCCGCTGCTCCCCTCAGCAGTGTACTTCGGTCCTTCTGCCTGCTCTGCTCCCTGCTCTGGTGAATTCTCTCACCCTCCCGCGCTTCTGACTGTACCCAGTGCTTGAATAAATAAATAAAATCTTAAAAAAAATAAAAATAAAAAAAAATTATAAAAAAAAAAAACAAAAAAAACGGACTTATATGTGCCGCTTAGAAGTTTGTTATAACCCAACTACTTTGGCTGTTATGACTAAAGAGAAAAACCAGCTGATTAGAGTCCAACTTTTGGAGATCCAACGAATAGTACTTGTTCAATTCCTAACAACTACAAAAGCAACATACTGACTCCAAAGAAATAAACGTTGCATCTGCTCAAATTTTTGATGCAATAAATGAAGCTCATATTCTTCTGGATTAGCAACAAATACTTCACTGATCTCTTCTTCATTATAGAGCTCAAGACTGATCCACTGATACATCCCATAAAGGAAAAAGCAAAATTTTATGGAGATAGTAGTTCCATATCACTATCAAGGAATGAGTTATCAGTGACCTCAGTGGCACCTACAAGATACTTACGAATTTGTATGCAGATATTCAAAAGTTAGTTGAGCTCGATTCAAACTGCTGTAATTTGTGAAAGCCATGAGTGCAGTGAGTTCTCCAGTCCTTTACTCGCTAATTGGGAGATCAACTTTTAATAGCTTTTCCAGGATTTCTTCCAGCAAAATTTGGTACGTCTGTGCGCTTTACAGTTCGTTACCTAGTATCTACCCAAAATAGATAAGAGAGACGCCAGAAGCTACAATCGATTTCCCCTTTATTTTTTAAATCTTCTCAAGGACTATGACGCAATATTTTTAAGAGAATTACGTCATAAATCTGTAGTCTTAAGGAGCTTCCGTGTTAACTTTCGGGAGTTCAATGAGTTCAGCGTGGACGGTCCTAGAACCGACGTGGGGTCCTCGAGTAGGAGATGTTACCACTGTTCCATCTTCTCGTTCTTCCAGCGTTTTTTGTTCGTTTCCCTCGGGCAATTTACCAATCCGGAAACTTACCAACCGGAACGGCACCCACTTCTGTCACAAAACTCTGACATCACCCATGTCTTCCAGCACCAGTGATCCCGGGATGCTTAAACTGGCCCTCGCCCGGCGGCCACGCCGTCGACGGGGCACATCCGGCCTCGGGCCCGGCTTCACGCCCAACCGAAAGAGCGAGCTCCTCTGCGCGTCGACGGCCGCCTCCTGTCTCCAAGCCCAGCCCACACCCGGCCGGCTGACCGACCGCGCGGCCTCGCTCCCCTCCGGGCGCCGGGACGTGACCTCACACGGCGCCGCCACAACGCCTCTGAATTGACCCGCCCAAATCACCTCAGGCCGGGCGCGCCCCTCCCCCACCGCCTCAGCGCGCGGCCTCGGCCTCTCCGGGCCCTTCCGGGCCTCAGCCCCGCGGCGTCCTCCTCGCGGAGACGAGTTAGTCCCAGCGTTCAAGGCCCAGCTGGAGGGCAGTGGCGAGCGCACCCCCCGGCCGGGCGTTGCCCAGCGCTCGCCGCTGCCTTTGTCCCTCCCCACAGAATTGGAACCCAACAACCGCAGCGCGCTCTTGGAACCATGTGCTGCCGCCGCCGCCTCCGCCGCCGCCGCCGCCGCGAAACCAGCAGCCTGCGCGCCGTGCAGGATGAGATGAGGACAGGACTCAGCACCACGAAAGTCAGCGTCTAGGGCTTCACCGCTGCTACTCCCGCAGCCACCGCCACCACCGCTTTGTCTCCCGCACGCAACCCGGGCCGCCTCGCGCACTCCCCGACGCCCCAAGCCCCCGAGGCCTCCGCGGCGCTTTCGGCCAATCGCGGAGCCGCAGTTCCTCCCGCCCCCGCCCTGATGCGACGGCTCCTGATTGGTGGCGCGGGGGTGGTCGCGTGACCGGATCTTGCTTAGCCGGACCCGCCCCTGTCACGTGAGCGCGCGCGCCTCTCTTCCTGCTTTCCTGACCCTCTCCGCCATTTAAAGAAACAGTACCGGGGGCGGGCCGAGCGACGCAGCCGGGACGGTAGCTGCGGCGCGGACCGGAGGAGCCATCTTGTCTCGTCGCCGGGGAGTCAGGCCCCTAACTCGAAGAAGCCCTGGCGCGCCCTCCCCCCCTCCCGGGTCTGGTAGGGCGAAGGAGCGGGCGCGCGGTCGATCGAGCGATCGGTTGGCGGCTCTTTCTCCTGCTCTGGCATCCAGCTCTTGGGGCGCAGGCCCGGCCGCCGCGGCGCGCGCCCGGTGGCCGTTGGCGCTCGCGCCGCGTCTTTCTTCTCGTACGCAGAACTCGGGCGGCGGCCTATGCGTTTGCGATTCGACGAGGAGTCGTCCGGGTGGTCGGCGGCGGCGGGCAGCTGCTCCGCCCCGCTCCCGGGGAGGCGGCGGCGGCGGGATTTGGCGCGGCCGGGGAGGCGGGGGTGGCCGCGGCCGGCCTGGAGGCCTGGCGCCACCCTTCGGGGCCTGCTAGGACCCAGTTGGGGGGGCAAGAAGGAGCCGGGGGATGGTTGGTGGTGGGCTTTCTGCTTTGCCTTTTCCTTCTCATGCCGCCTTAGTGAGGGGCGGGAGCTCTGGCGGCAGCTCCGGGGTGGGGAGACAAGCTCCGGAGTCGGAAGAGCTGGGTTTGCTTCCGGGCCTAGCCACCAGCTGGCCGAGTGACCTTAAGCAAGTCACTCTGTAATTTGTCTGCGCCTCAGTTTCCTCCTCTGCCCGTCGATGTTTGTGGGATTGAAAGCGCTTTGTAAACTGTAAAGCGCCCAGTGTACGTAAGGGATGGTATTGTTTGTTTGTTTTAAGTTGTAAGAAAACCTGGCAGTTGCCCATTCCTTGGATTTTTGAACCTGGAAACCTTGGAGTTGGATATCCCCCAAACTCCCTGAAGTTGTATGCAGATGCTAGTGGAAATATGCATCTTAGGGGAGTGAGGATCCATCGCCAGCAAGTTTTCTCAAGGGGCTGTCACCCAGAAAAGTTAAGAACCACAAGTCCTTTATGCCACAGGGAGGAAACTGAGGCCTACATGTCCTTTGGGACCCTTCACAACCAATTTGACGCCCCCATGTGAATCCCTGAGATATGTGAGCTGTTTCTATGCATAATGAATATTCTGGGTAACAACACTCCACTGCTTGGCTTCTATTCTGAGTCCTTTGCTTTCACCATGGGGTGCCTGAAGGTTGGCTGATGCATATGGCATAGTGGCACCTATTCTAAAAAGCAGCTAAAACTAGGAGTGGATGTGTTTTCTAGTACCAAGAAACCGTTTTAATCTTTGGCCCGACAACTGTTTTCTGCTGCTTATACTGGTGCCTGACGACCTTCTGACTTTCACTGACCATTTCCCACCACCATAGTTGCCATCCGTTACTTGCTCCTACTTTATGTCCCTATTCTGGATGGTTGATAGTGAACAGGCTATTTTATTTTATTTTAATGGTGCTGCCAAGTCCAGTTAGTTAATGGTGCAGATGACTTTTAGCAAGCCAGCTCACTCAGACTGAACCAGTTGGGGAATTCCTGAAGCTATTTGGGTGTTTGTATTAATTGAAGGTTAACATTCTCTGAAAAGTTTTGTTAGAACTTCTGCTGAACCTCAAAATCAGTAGATTTGGAAGTGTTAAAAAGCTTGACTTTTTCCTGGCCTGCCTTGTATTCTAATTGCTTGCAAAAGTGTTACTAAGATGGCCAAAGCGCCACTTTTTGCTTCTTTGTTGTCACCCGCTTTTATCAAATTCTAGGCCATCATCCAGCAAACACTATAAAAATGTTTGAACACTTGGAGTTCAAACATTTGCATTTTGTGGAGTGGTGCTTACCAGTGGTACAGCTCTAAACACGTGAACACAAACACATTTAAGTGTATTTCGTCTGGTTAGGTGTGAGCCAGTTCTGCTATTTCATACAAATGTCTGAAAAATCAATTGACTGTTCCTTTTACCTAAAGGGCAGAGACAAAAGACCTCACTTCCAGAAAAATGACTGTTTGGGAGGAATATGTGTTGGTCATTTAGCTCTTTTGTAATTTTATCTGGATGTACCTCAAAGAATCGTAAGACTGATAAGATGCTTTCCTCATGAGAAAGGAGGAGAAAAAACAACTGGAACTCAAAGCTTGAAATTCTGTGAAAAAACATGAGATGTCCAGGATAGGAGGTTTCTCTACAGTGCTCTGCACTCCCTGAAGCAGACAGTTCTCAATGTAGCCAGAGGGTGGATTCCAGATTTTCAAGAACTGGACCTGGCACCTGGAAGAATTTATCAGGATGTGGCAGAAACTCTGGCACTGGATATTTTTATTTCTGAATTTTGGATCTGTCGACCTTGCTTTGAGAAAAGAGACGACGACTGAGCAAGCACTGCCACCAACAATGACTGTTACTGGGAATTAGGAAACCTGAGTTTCTGCCACACCCTTGGTGTAAACAGGACGACACTCCATCCAAAGTGAACTACGGTACTTGTCGTTTTCCATAATGCCTTACTCTACCATCTCTGTGCTTTTTTTTTTTTTTTTAATTTATTTATTTATACAAGAATCGGGGTATAGGCCAGATGTGCGGGAGGGTGAGAGGATTCAAGATCTCTATACTTCTATTCATGATCTCTTCTTAACCCAGAATGCCTTGCTGTCAGAACTCTGGTTTCCTCACTATCCAACTCAGATGCCTTTACCCAGAAATGGTCTTTTTTTTAAATTGAGTGCTCGCGTTTGTCCTGTATCTTGTATTCAATACATATAATATCAAAGGTATTTAATATATATAATACTTTGCAAAATACTTACTTGCATGCATTTGCTCTTTTTCCTAAAAGCCAGTCCCTTGAAAGCAGGGGCCTGGTCTTTGTCCACACCTGCTACCACTTGGTGAAGAACTTGATAGAAATTTAGAGAGCAGGAATAAACTCTGTTTTCACCTAATTACTCTTAGTGAGAAGTCAAGTCACTCAATGTGGGCCATGTGTCCTCCTTTTTTTCACATTTTCTTATTTTTTAATTGTAAATTTAAAAACAGTAAGGGAGCCCTAAAACAAAGAGAAACCAATATGTTACATGCAGATGGGTACAAGGACCAGGGCCAGGATACCTTATTATCTACCACTCAGTATATAATCTTGTTAAAGTGAAAATTAAGGGCAGCTTTTAAAAGGATGAAAATTTAAGGGAAGCACTTATATCACCTGTGAAGCCATTTTCTCCCCCACCACTCATTGCCCAGCAGTCTGAATACAGTCAAATTACTCCCCAAAGTATGTGTTCCTGTTTGTTACTTGCCTGAGACAGCTTATTCTCAAGAGTCAGGAAACAGTGTTTGCAGAGAACTGTCTGCTCTTGCCATTACTGATTGTTAATCATAAGACATTTTCCTCCCCATCTATCACCTGTCAGCTTCTAAACCAGGCTTGTAATACCTGTCAGGCAGCTAATGTGCTGCTAGCAGACCTACCTGTGTTAAGGGTCTTCTGTTTGTAACTCCGTGCATTTGTTACTTATTTTGTCTCTTCCAGTCCTGTGCCTCCTGATTGCTGAGTGTTCACCTGGATATCCTGACAACCTTCCTTGTGTTGTTCCATCAGTCTACACATCGGGTACCTGGATTTTTGCCCTTGGTGATTCCTACCACCTTACTACTGAAGAAGACACCATTCCAGTGGACCACTGTGACTCAAGAGGCTTTTTAGCCATCATGATGTGGCCTTCACCTCGACTCCTGTCCTGTTCTACCCATATTCAGCACCGCCCTTTATAGTGAAGTCAAACTCAAGCCAAATAGTTGAAGCTGTTTTATTACAACAACGGCCCAGTTTGTTCCATGAGTGTGCATTTCATTTTTAAGTTAAAGTCTTCAGAGACACGTAAATTTGGACCAGGGGACTTTTAGTTGTCAACACTGAAGAATGGCAACATCTTTTTGAAAGAATCATTGGGCCACACCCCGCACTCTCAAATGATCAAAGCTCATGAAGTATCTAGGATCCCATCAAGGTTACTGGACCCTGTTTTTCCATTTCATATTTGCAGTAGCCTACTGAATGAGAAAGCAGATAATCTGACCATTGGGATTAAGACAATGGCACAGTGAACTCTAGCATCTTCATTGGGATTACTCAGGAACCAGAACTTTTCACACATGTGAGAAATTCTACCAAGGAATCCCTTTACCTAACAGCATCTCACAAAACTCCAATCAGATTCCAGAAAAGACCTCTTGATATATCCAGGTAGAACCCATATGGTAATCCCTTATGTTTATATAGCACTTTACAGTTTCAAGCACTTTTTACATGCATTAATCTCAATTACGAAATTATAATCCCTTTTTGTAAATAAGGAAATGGAAATCTAAAAGGTTATCCAAGGTAACACAGCTATAAAGTGGTAGAGACCAGGCCTTCTGACTCCCAGTCCAGTATTCTCTTTAGAATTAACCTCTACTTTACCTACAGTGTTAAAAACATCTGGAGATTGGGAACCCCAGAAAAGTTTCAACTTCCTGATCTGTTGTCCTCAGTCAGACAAGATGTCATAAATGTGATAGCTGCACCTAGACCAGAATTCCGTGGCAGCACCCCTAAGGTTTAAGGACTGTCTCCACGGTGATAGATTACCTAGTCTACAAGACAATTGTTTATCTAATTAGACTACCCAGCATGAAATAAACCTGCTTTTGGAGCTTTCATCTGTCTTTATGGAGTTCCAGAGATGGCCTAATTGGTGAAATATATATGGTCCTTTATACCCACACTAATATTTACTCAAAATGAGCCATATACCTAGAGTAGTATTGTTTTTATGTATGGATGGATATATGAGATACACATATTGTGCAGGAACTTCTGTAGATCAGTAAGTTGGTAAAATATGTGTGCCCTCATAATGCAGTGTAATACGTTGAAGAATCTCAGAAGGCTTGTAACAAAGAGCCTCATTGAGCTCCTTAGTCCAGTATGTGCTAAGTTTTAATCAAGCACAGAATATTTGTTTTGCAACATTCTTTTTAATGGAATGGGGAGACTGCTTTAGAGCAGTATAGCCAGTGCTTCACAATTGCCAGCAGATTACCATAGAGATCCAAGAATAAGCATCTTTGAAACCCCCTTTTACCTTTTCATTAACTGCTTAAATTAGTATGTCTTCATCATTAAGAAACCTGAATTTTAACCATTATTTTCTGTCAAAAGAACCTCTAGAAGACTTGGGGGGAAATGGGGGAAAGTTAATTCTGCCACCAAATTGGATGAGTTCTGTGACATTTATCAATGTACTACTTTCTGTCCCTAGAATTGAAATGTCAACCTATTGTAGTTCAAGGGCATTGATTCTTAGGTGTGGGAGGAGGAGGATGGAGGAAAAGGAAAAAGGGTAGAGGAGATACTTATTAAAACTTGAGCTTCGCTTGAAGTCATCCAACTGTGGGCCTATTGGAATGATAATTTATGAAGAAATGAGTGCATTTTGCAGCTATATGCTAAATGCAAAAACCCCAAGGCTGTTATCACTTAAACCTATGGCCTTGTTCTGTGATAGTCATTGCAAGAAGTGCAATTTCAACTCTCCATTTTGTAATGTGGTCCACTTTAGAGAAGGATTAATAGAACACCTTGGCTTACCATAGGCTTTATTCACACAGTTGCTGGTTTCTATGATCTATTTTTTGTATTTCAGCATTTTGTGAACAACTTACTCTTAGATCATTGGTTTTCCAAAGGCTTTGTGGCCATGAAGCCCACTGAATGAAAACCATGTGGATGCCCAGAGTAAAAATGAAGCTGCTCTGGATGAAGCAGGAGTGGGGGGCCTGAAACCCATCACAAGCATCTATCTTTACCGCCGTGGTGAGACCTCAGGAGACTTCTTACAACATTCACAATTCTTCAGAGAACAGTTTGAAAACTACTGCCATTGCAAACAATATTTTGATCTGAATGACATTCTCATCTGTACCTCTACCTAACATGGTAAACATTCTTAGGAATACTTACTGTGTATAAATTCAGAAGATTGCAAGAAAATGATCATATTTTTGCACCCCCACCCCCCGAGTAGTTACATGGACTGAAAGTGGTGTCAAATGGACATAGATTAACAGCTTTCTACAAAGATGGACTTCCAGTGATTCCTGGGATTGGACATACCCAGAGAACAGTTCATACACTGACAACCGCTCCTTAGTCAGCTTCCCTCACACACTTCAGATACTATCGTGGTACTTGAAATACATGACTTCTAAGTCTCAATCCTCCTTGGTACCTGAATCACCAGGTGGTGAAGCTAATGCCTCATTGAGGCCATATTAGATCAACTTGAACATTGGACAGCTCATCCTCGGCCATGGTACCGTACTTCATGTGCAAGGGATAACCATTATGAAAGAATTCAAAATACTGGCGACATTACTTAAAAGAGTACCTGGTTGTCATCTGTTTCTCAAAATATAAGTCACTATGACTCAGCCAGTGGCAGTTGCACTGACCCTTGGTTTCTATTCAGTTTAGCTGCTGCTTCCAAGTAAATGAGTGAATAACCTTTTATTAAAAAATCTTCATCACTGACGTATCTGCCTATTCTGCTTCAAAATTATATATACTCAGCTCTAACTACACATAACACTGGATCCAGAAAAGACAAGCTTTGAACATCCATTCTTGTGTATGTGACTTAAAATGCGGCAATTAGAAATTTTTCATCTAGCCCATCAGAAGGTGTCCTTTTAAGATGGGTCTTTTGATGTCTGGTACCAGTGACTGTCGGGGCTAGGTATTTAGATGTAAGCCCTTTGACCAGGCCGTGATAGCTTCCTTGCTGAACATCTCAAATTGCATTATCCTTTACCTTTTCGCTGGAAATGTACACTGACTTGGAAAAAAATCTACAACGCCTACAGCTAAGGATTTTATCAGACTCAAGCTTCATACTGCTGCTTCCTAATGTCACAAGATCACAGCCCTTTGTTCTTGCAGATGTTTTCATGGCGTTTGATCCATCTCAAAACTTTTATACTGATTCAGAGTGGCTGACTTCATTCCTTGCCATAAGATACTTTCAGGCATTAAGACAACTTACCTGTTTCTACAGGAAGGATTTGAATTCCCAGACCAGATCATATTAAACAAGTAAACTTTGATGCATGTCATGAGAAAAATCACATTCCTTCTCAGTCCACTTACGGGCCAGCTTTCCTCAACTAGTATAATGAATGCACTGGTTAAATGTTAGGAATGGTTTCTTTCTGTCTCATCCTTTAAATGAATCGTGATTACATGACTCAGTCTACAAATCGTCAAACAACGCCTAAGTGTGGTTACACTGTCCACTCTCAACAAATGAAAATAAGATCTGGATAACTAGTCTCCTTACATATACAACTATTATTTGTAAAGAAGAAATCATCTACAAACTGTTTCTCTGCTACCTTCAAATAGCAGCTCAATGTTTTCTCTCCCGTACTTTCCAGAAAAACTGATCAATACCACCAGTCATTCTCTTTAATCCTGTCAAAATGAGGGGCTTATGGTGAGGATGATCTGATAGAGTCTAATGTATGCTGTATATAGAATTGATGGTTTAATTAAAAAGGAAAAAAAATGCCTACAACTCAAACCTGACATCTGACCTACTATCTCCATGCCTCAGAACTCATCTAAGTCTCTCAGCACCATTCAACCAATCTGAGACCATAACACTATAAGATGATTCTCAGATGAACTGAGTTACAGAGGATGAAGACTTGATTACCAAAGAAAGTAGGGCTAACCTTGATGAACCTGGCGCTCCCAACCCTATGGCTCCCAGGTGTAGCATAGGCTTCTAAACACAACCTCAGTTCAGTATTGAGGATATAATATAGACTTCTCCCAAGCTGAAAGTTTTGGGGCAGAGCAGGAAGTTGGAAGCTACTGCACTTGATTGGCCCTTTAAGATCAGAATAAACCCTATGGATTAACCCTGGATTAATCAGGGTACAAACTTGTTTACAGAGCTTCGATATTAATCTGCCTGTTCTTCCAGATCATATCCTGATTATTGGTATGGCTGGCCCTGCTGAAGGAACCCTACTTGCCTCTACCTGACTCTGCTCTTGCCTGCCTTTTTTTTCTTGGCATGTTGCTGCAATCAGACTGACTTTGCCTTGAGAAGACTACAACATACCCAGTTCCACCAAGGACTTTTGAACAGAGACAGCCTGCATTTCACCGTACCAGGACTTAATGTTCACAAAAGAAAGGATCATGCTGTACATTTCTTGACCAGCAGCACATCCCTCCTCCCTTTTTAAGTGCAGAATAAGCCTCTATGCCTATATATGATCATTTTCAGCTCTGGAACTCTTGTCTAGCAGAACTAAAGGAGTATAGCCGATCAAAAGCACTGTATGTTCCTCTCTTGCAATAACAAAGCAATGAATCTGAAATGTACCACTTTGACTTGACAAAGGACTTGAAGGAACACTAAGTTTTCCATTAAGCTTAAATTTACCACTGACATGAATAGCCTCACAGAACTGTTTGCCATTGGGAGGCTCTTGTCCTTCACATCAGCAAGATAGTTGGGCTCGCAGACTCATGACCACTGAGTTTACTTATATAAAATCATTGTAACATCCAAAGTATACTACTGGGCATGATTTTTCCATTCAAATGGATTACAAACTTCCTGAGGACAGGACAAACTTAGTTCTCATGATGTTTTTCCAAAAACTTTTATTGTCAAGGAAGTAATGCCAGCTGTTACCATTCATCTTTATGAGCAGAGATTAAACCTTTTTTTTTTAAATATCTGGTCTCATTGACATCAGTTTTTGATGTCTCTCTCTTTGTAACAACTTCCTGATGCTTCCCAGAGCCACCTCCTTACTTTCAGGCCACATTTGTCAGACTCTCTGACCCCAACCTTAGACTTCATGGATGAGCTTGTAATTCAAACCTGATCAGTCTGCATAGTCCATCTCCTTGACCATAATGACTGGTTCAGGAATGGTCATGTGATTCAGATTGCTCCAGTGACACTCAACTGTGGAGTTATACTGAACTGTGGAGGAGATGCTCAGAGCTCTGTTTACTGAGGTTATTTTGTAGGATTAAAAAACTCAAACCAACAGGGCCGCCATGTCAAACAAGCCTGTGAAAGAATGAAGCCAGTGCAGAGGAAAGCAGAGCCAAATGATGGAGAGACTTGAGTCTTGATGGCAATGTTTGTGCCCCTGGATCCAACCGTGCCTGAAGCTAAATACCCCCTGGACTTTTCAGTTATGTGAACCAATAAATGCCCTTTTTTGCTTAAGTTACTCTGAGTTGGGTTTCTATTGCTTGAAATTGAGTCCTCAATAATATAGTATCTACCAGTATTGAAACTTGGAAGATCCAAGAATTTAGTAAGCTAGAAGTAATGGCTACCCTGAAATAATTTTCCAAACTGAAAGGCAAAAGAAACTAACAATGTTTAAGATGCTACAGAAGCATAAAAAATGCTTTCATGGTAGAAAAACTAAACATCAGTAAAGGGTTAATTAACACAAGGCTCATCCATAAAAGAAAATCTATTGACATGAATGAAGTACAGTTATTGTGTGTGGACATGGAAAAATGGCTATGATATCTTAAACGAAACAATAGAAAAGTATATAGTATGAACTCATTTCAAAATTTGTGCTTATAATGCATAGAAAAGTATTGACTTTCAACAGACTTTCAACTTTATACGTTCCTGTATTTGAATATTTTTACACTACCCATTACTTTAAACTTTATTTTAAAGGAATTATTAAAATTCAGTGCTTAATGGTTTACCTTGACAAGCTGCTTGTCATTGAGCCTGTTTTGTTAAATGTAAAATATCTACCTTTATATTAGTGAATTTAGATTAATATGTTCAACGTCCATTCAAACGATCAGATTTTGCACTTTGAGATTTTCAGAACTCTAATTATTCAGTAATTTTTTGAGCACATTTCTTTAAATGCATGATTGTATTTGGTTATCAGAACTTCATAGTTTGTTACTATTCTAGTTCCCAGTGTTAACCTACCTCTACTCCATAGTTCACCGTACATAAAAAGAAAGTCACATTTTCTTTGAAATCCTTGAATTTTCTGATCTCACTGCAATCAAGGTCAACAATGCCTTTTTTTATTGATAAATCCACTACATATATCCTGGCTGCTACCCGTTGTAGTTTCCTCCCATCAGTTAAATATAGGCTTAGTAGATCATCTATTGAGTTTTGCCTTCCCCAAATCATTTCCCTTTCCTTTAGTGGTAGATCCCTACTCTTCTGTGGTAATGCTACTCCATCCCATTCTGTGGTTTTACTGGAAATAGTTCAGTATTCTGGCCTTGTGATCAAGCTTGTCCAATCAAAATTCCCCTCCAGGGGGCCTCCCTGGTGGTGCAGGGGTTAAAGACAGAGCTATCAAGCCATCACCAGCTACTGCAGCACGAGTTGGATCCCTGGCTGGCCAGGGAGCTAACCCACATGGCACAGCAGACCTCTCCTGCATCACCTGCTGCTCTCCTCAGCACTGTATTTCAGTAAATCTGCCTGTTCTGCTCCCCACGCTGATGAATCCTCTCACCCTTCCTCACCTCTGGTTTATACCCCAGTTCTTGTATGCATAAATAAATCTTTAAAAAAAAAAAATCCCCCTCCAGGCCTTTTGCATCCTAGGAGAGGTAACACAAAATTGAAGGCAAAATTTGGATAATCAGGTAGCTGTTGATCATAGGACAATTTGAAGTGATTAAGATCAAGATCATTGAGGCAGACTGGTTACTTGGATTACATTGGATAATTTAGTGAGAACAAGCTCAGACCCGAAGAAACTATTGCAGGTTTCAAATAAATCCAGGGCCTTACTGTGCAGCATGAATGAGTCCCTTAGTGCTTCTCCCTTACCCTAGACATTCCTGTTAGTTATAAGATCCTCTTGGTGTGTCATGTAAATAAACCTAAAAACTACTTCCACTCTGTTTCCCTCATTCAAGGGAGCAGTAAGTGTTGCTAGGACTGTTGTGATGCCTTCTAATGGTGTCACTCCCTCCACTGTTAGCCAGCTACAGTCCATTTTCTGCAGAGGTGCTGGAATAGTTTTTGATACGCAGATCTGATTTTGTCACTCCCCGGCCTGAAACCTTTCAATAGTTCTCCCACTATTTCAGAGATTTTATCTTTCTGAGTCTGTTATCTTGCTTTTCAAGCCTCATCTTTTACCATTTCAAAGAGGAATAGTTCAATGTTGTATATTGGGGTTTCCTGCGATATTTCACTTGAAAATTACACATTTTTAAAAACAACACAAGTAGGTTCCATTAAGATGGGAAAAGTCAGAACCCATTAATAATTCAGAACTATTCGTGTTACTTATTGTTGCTATAGCTCCAGGTTTTCTTCGAATATTCTCTTTCCATGAAATTTTTTAATTAAATCTGATTTGTAACTTCATACACCCATAGCAGGTGCCTAGAAGGCAACCAAATCCCTACCTCACAATATAATACAAAAATAAATATTAGAAGGTCTACAAATTTAAATGTTAAAGTGAAATATTGGAAGAATTCTTGGGAAATGTATAATTTTATAATGGGTGATCAACAAGACAGGAAAACTACAAGTCATAAAGGAAATTGTAGACATTTGACTATATAAAGCAAATTTTGAGAAAACAATAGCTTTATAAAAGACGCATGGGGAAATATTTCCAACGTAAGTGACAGATTCATGGTTCATATCCCTAATATACAAAAAGTTCCTACAAACAACTATAAAACAATCACACGAATAGAGAACTCAGAAGAAAGACCCAGAGTAATAGTGACTACCCATTTACTTGGTGCTTACTATATGAGATTCAGGTGATTTACAAGATTAATTTTTTTAATCCTCCCAGTTTGCCCTATGATACAGGTAATATCCCTGTTGTATAGCAAAGGAAACAGGATCAAAAGAATTAAGTAACTTTCCAAGTCAGACAATAATAGGTGCTCACTCATTTTGAGCTATGATTCAAAATCAGTTGGTCTCACTCTAACCATTATGCTCTTTGGTATTTAAATTCACATAAAAGAGGGCAAAGTGGAAATGTAGTCAGTGAGAGATGAATCAAAACAAATAACAAAGGGGGCCTCCCCGGTGGCGCAGCGGTTGAGCGCTGGGTTACGAAGCTGCCTGCAACCTATGAGGTGCTGGTTCGATCCCCGGCTGCTCCCCGGCCACAGGAGGAGGGTCCCGCATGGCGCGCAGACCTCTCCTGCCGCGCCCACTGCTCCCCTCAGCAGTGTACTTCGGTCCTTCTGCCTGCTCTGCTCCCCGCTCTGGCTCTGGTGAATTCTCTCACCCTCCCGCACTTCTGACTGTACCCAGTGCTTGTGTGTATAAACAAACAAACAAACAAATAAATAAATCTTTAAAAAAAAAAAAATAACAAAGGTACCATTGGTCACCTATCAATGTGGTAAAATTTAAAAGAATGATGTATTGATGTGCTGAAAAGAATTAGGGTAAATGAAAATGTTTATACATTGTTGATGGAAATGTGGATTATTCCAATCAACTCCTGGCCAGGGAGTTGACCCACATGGTGCAGTAGACCTCTCCTGTCTCACCTGTTGCTCCCCTTAGCAGTGTATTTCAGTAGATCCACCTGCTCTGCTCCCTACTGTCTCTCTGGTGAATCCTCTAACTCCCTACACCTCTGGACTACATCCCAGTTCTTGTATGCATAATTTTAAAAAAAAAAATTTTTTTTAAAGTTTAAAAAAAAAAAAGACAGTTGGTTAGTTCATACATTTTTAGGGTTGTCTGTGATAGATCTTCGGTTCCGAGTGACTGGCCCTCTATCTTGGATAGGCCACTCCATACAGAGAAAGTACTGTCCTTGAGGGTGCCACATGCTAACAAAAACTGGTTGTCTTCTGGTTCTGTTCTTCCTAGAATAAATACCACATTTCCCAGCCTCCCTTGCTGATAGACAGAATGCATGTACTAAATTTCTGCCAGTGGGTTATAAGCAATTTAGGAAATTTGTGCTTAAAGAGTGTATGACTACCTCCTCTTCCTTTTGTTCTGTCAGGCAGATGTGGGTTTAATGGCTAGAACTTGAGCATGTCACTGCTGAAACATAAAGAAGCTGTGTGAAATAATGATGGAGCAACAATTTAGAAGGAGCCTAGGTTCCTGATGAATGGAGTCCTCATATCAGGCCTGAACTCTTTACCTCTGGAATTTGTTTACAAGATAGGCTTCTATACTCTACGTAATTGGTGTTTGAGGTTTTCTCTCCCTTACAACTGAGCCCGATCTTCCCACAAATAATTTCATGGAAATATGTCTTAGGAACATCTAATTACATTTGTTCTAATTTTATAGTACTGGAGTAAACTACCCCTTCGGACTCACTGACAAGAAGGTAGTGCCCTAGGTGGATGACTGATCGGGTCATGAACCAGTCATATACCTCCCATCATAAATTAATAAATGAGCCCTTTGTTTTATTAGCAAGACACCTCTCCTTTTATGCTCAGAGACCCTACTGCTCTTGCTTTTTTCTTCCCAACATCTACCCCCACTTCTTTTGCACATCCGTTTTCCTCTGGGTTTCAGCCCACCTCCACTTCCTGTTTGTATGCTAGCTACCTCTGGCTCCAGAGTGAGCAATCTCCTAGGCAGATCTACCAGAGTGCTGCAGCCCTTTGGTGTGGGCATTTGAATAAAGGTATAGTATAACTCCTAGGCCAAACCAACCTTATACAAGCAGCTAATTCTGGGAGGTTGTGGATGACAAGTTTAAATAACTGAAAAAGATTTCTTTTTAATTATTTTTTTAAATCCACTGAATTTAAAATTATAAGATTGCATACCTGGCACTGCTGGCAACTAACTTCCCATCACAAGGAGATTGCCTATCTGAAAGTGGGACTTACATAGGGGACTGAGAGAGAAAACAAAATCCTAAACACATTGTTCCCTGGATGCATCCATGCCTGAAGCTAAACTAATCCTGGACATTTTTTACCAATACTATTCCCTATTCAGTTTGAGGGGTCTACTCTTTTCATGAAATGTTTAGTCCTGACTATGCCATCCATTTCATCTTATTACCAGCACCCAGGATATAGAAAGTGCTTAAGAAATATTATGAAATAAATTTATTAGAAGCAGAAACACAGAATCTCTTAACTCCAAAAGACTGAGCCACAGAAGTTGCTGCACTAGCAAAGCTAAGGATGCTGACAAGTTACTTAACCTCTCTGAGCCTGTCTATTCAAATTTTTTTTTTTTTAGTAGCTGTTTTCAGATTGTGAGGATTAGGAGAGATAATGAAAACATAGTACTAAAACTGTTCTGGCATCTAGTAAGCCCTCAGTAAATGGCAGTTGTTAGTAATAATGTTATTAAGGCGATAATACCTGGAGACCTCTCAACTCAGCCTTGCCTCCTTTTCACCTCAACTTGCTAGTGTCCATGACACACACATATTCCAATCTCTTACAAGGAAAATTGGTTTCCTTATCACCTTTGGAGTGCTGGTGGCAGCAAAACATGTCATGTTCAGTTTCTCTTGTGGGCTTCCGTCCTTGGATGCCCTCCATGCCAGTTGGCCTGTTAGCAAATGTAGAGGAAGGAGTCCAATTGTCATTGCTAGAAATATGACCTTTCTCATCTATATCAGAGCAGGCAGCCCATTTGGGAGGCTGCACATTCCAGAAGGACAAGTGACTCACCCCTTCATTGGCCAGGGCTCCAGACTGCTCCTTGTTTTAAAACAGTACAGGTTT